TGGACGAACCGTATTGTAAGCAATGAATCAATTCCCACGACTCTTTGAACGAACATTCGCATTGTGATCCGATTCAATTCTCACGATTCTTTTTTACGGCTCATCGTTGAAATCTTATGTATCCGTGCCGGCCACGATTCAATTGAACGAACCGTATTGTAAGCAATAAATCAATTCCCACGAATCTTTGAACGAACGTTCGCATTGTGATCCGATTCAATTCTCACGATTCTTTTTTACGGCTCATCGTTGAAATCTTATGTATCCGTGCCGGCCACGATTCAATTGGACGAACCGTATTGTAAGCAATGAATCAATTCCCACGACTCTTTGAACGAACGTTCGCATTGTGATCCGATTCAATTCTCACGATTCTTTTTTACGGCTCATCGTTGAAATCTTATGTATCCGTGCCGGCCACGATTCAGTTGAACGAACCGTATTGTAAGCAATGAATCAATTACTACGACTCTTTGAACGAATGATCGCATTGTGATCCGATTCAATTCTCGCGATTCTTTTTTACGGCTCATCGTTCAAATGTTATGGATCCGTGCCGGCCACGATTCAATTGAAGGAACTGTATTGCAAGCAATAAATCAATTCTCACGACTTTTATGGATCCGTGTTGGCTACGATTCAATTGAACGAACCGTATTCTAAGCAGTGAATCGAATCACACGATTCATGTTTAATACTCGTTCAATCTTTGCCCACCTCTATTATGTACAGGGTGTTCAAAATTCGATACTCATCATTCGGATCTCGGAAACTGTAAGGTGAGATACGATGTTGGTTAAATTTATTTGTCTTAAAACTTTTGATAAATCGTTGAGGATAATATTTATTTTATCTAATTAATGTTAATAATATTAATTTATTTGTTTAAATGATCAACCTATATGGTATAAGAGTATAATATTAATATTAAAGTCACGGGATTAAAAGGTACTTATAAACTACATTATTTTAATCGTATATGTCGGAATGTTTTAGAAGATTAAAGCAAGACAATAGACTAGAAAAATGAGTGGCTTGTTCGTGTCGTAGCGCTATTGAATAGTAAATAGCTAAAATTTAAGCACCTAAACGACATAGGCAACCTTTTGTTTGAATGCCTTACATGGCAACTAAAGGATTTTTGAAAAAGTATGTGTGTGTATTTACTAGAGATGAGCAAAACTGCGATTCTCCAATCGCACTTGAAACTGCGATTGCGATTTTTTAAGTCGCAGCGACTGTAACCTGTGATTGCGATTTGAATATTTAAATATTGTACTAGGTATATAGGGTGCTGACAATTTCGATGCTCAACATTGGCATCTCAGAAACTACGAGAGATATTAATTCGGTTAAATGGGATAACATTTGCGTAATTAGATGTTTGACAAACACCTATGAAGAAAACCCCGGTATCTTGATTAGTTTAGGATTTATGTCAAAAAAATGAAAATAATACGTTTATATTAAATGACAATATTTTCGCAGAACTATTGTATCTATTGGAACGTAAGTTAGTTGGTAGTTTTATATTTTTGACCTCGGCCAATTAATGTCGTTTTCAGAAAATTTCTAAGCCTTCTAGATTTCGCACAACAACAGTCAAGTTTTTGTTTTTTTATGGCCGCCATTTTGAATTTTTTATACTATTAGATAGAGTAAAAAATAATCTATACGGTGGCATCTAATTTTTATTCATAATTATGTAAATTCACTAAAAAAATAAGATTTTAAAAATTCGCTCAATAGATCAAGTCTGCCTTGGAAATCCAAATTGACATTTTGTATGACAGCAAGTTAATTTTTGTTTACTCTATTAAGTGTCAAATCTGGACACAAAAGTTTATAGTAAATAGTGTAAAATGTATTAACAGTCAACAATATTTTCACAAGTGAGGAAACACGAGATATGTAAGATGTTTAGTTAAAAATAATAGAAATTCCGATATAGCATGAGCAAGTTATAGAATATTGTATCCTGCAGCCTCATCGTACTATTTTCGCAAGGATTTCAAGAATTTTAGCAGTGGCTGGTAGCTTTAAGACACAAGTGGGCAATATTTTAAAAGGCATAATGATTTTAATGTGCCATTCAGATTGAAATAAATCCGGAAACTTCTAGTAGTAAAGTAAAATAACTCGCGAGTGTTGTATAAGTGATTCTTATGTAGGGAAATTATTATCAAAAAACAAATATTACAACTTTAAATTTTGTATACCAAATTTACATTTTTTTACATGCTGGTGATCACGAGAGAAGATTACAATTTTGCAAATAGTTCCCGAAAAGTGTTCAACAAAAAAAATTGTTCCCTTTTTCTAGAAAAATATTATGGACGGGTGAATCTTTATTTACAAATTCTAGTACATTTAACAGAAAAAAATTGACATTACTATGCAAAAGAAAATGCTCATTTAATTAGAGAAACCAGACCACAGTAATATATTCTTTGAACCTCTGGGCTGGCATTCTTGACAATAAAATTTTATGTTCTGTATTGATCTGTATTGAACTCTACTATACCATTTTTGTGCATCCAGATTTGACACTTAATAGAATAAACAAAAAATAACTTGCTGACATAATATAAAGTGTCAATTGGATTTCCAAGGCAAACTTGATCTTCGGCGAATTTTGAAAAAATCTGTTTTTTTAGCGAATTTACATAATAATGAATAAAAATTAGATACCACCGTATAGACTTTTTTTTCGCTCTAACAGTATAAAAATTCAAAATGGCGGCCATAAGAAAACAAAAACTTGACTGTGCGAAATCTAGAAGGCTTAAAAATTTTCTGAAAACGGCATCTAATTGGCCGGTGTCAAAAATATAAAACTACCAACTTACGTTCCAATAGATACAATAGTTCTGAAGATATTGTCATTTAATATAAACGTACTATTTTCATTTTTTTGACGTAAATCCTAAACTAATCAAGATACCGGGGTTTTCTTCATAGGTGTTTGTCCAACTTCTAATTACGCAACTTTTGTCCCATTTAACCGAATTCGTATCTCTCGTAGTTTCTGAGATGCCAATGTTGAGCATCGAAATTGTCACCACCCTGTATAATTGTCTGTGTATGTATCTATAGCTTAACAGTTCAAAAGAGTTAATAATAATCAGTAGTTTAGTTTTTAAGTTTTTTTAACATCTGCAACAGATTATAGGTATTAAAACTTTACATATGCTGTAACTGCTGCAACTACACACACCCTAAAAATTCAACTCCCAGATATAAGGTTATCACGGTCCTAGTTTACAAAATTGAATCTCGCAAATAACAAAAATTGCAAATCGCAACTGTAGTAATATTGGTTGCCTAAATTGAAACTGGCAAATAGAAGAAATCGCAATCGCAGTTTCCTATGAGAGCCAATCGCAGGTTGCGATTGCGATTTTAAAATCGCTGCGATTGGATTTTTTGCTCATCTCTAGTATTTACTTACTGTGAAATAAAAACAATAATATAATAAATCCATATAGGTAGAGAGTAGAGACTGATGCGACGATACGTCGATGCGATGCGTTGTACTGCATAATGAGCATGGAGTGACGAACCGCATCGACGCATCAATGCTTAGTAAGTATGGGGTTTAACGATCTTTTACTTAAGTTTTTTCCCATAATTTTGATTCAATTAATTAAAGAGCCGTGAAGCGACTGAAGCGAATTTTGTTGATAATAGCTTCTCGCAAACGCCGCGCCGCGCGCCGGTCGGGGTCGATGTAATTACTGCGTTGAGTATGTCGTGGAGATATTTTTGTTTTCACGCAGAAATGGGTTAATAGGTATTGTGTTTAATGACTAGTAATTCGTATAATTAGCGTATACGTTTTATAGGATAAATATTTATAGTATGCCAAGACAACTGTATTTGCTTTTCCCTTACTGTACGCGGTCGTGGAATTTTTTATCAAGTCTCAAATACTATTTAAATAAATGCTAACATTATGTTTTGATTTACTTACGCTCTACATAATAAAGAAAATTTGATTAAGTTATGTCTATGTAACTCTGTTAATGATCACAGCAAAATAACGGTAGTTTTACAATAATGACCATTTTTGCAAATCTGTCCAATGAGACAGGCCTGTACGAAAAAACGCTCGGACAGGGTGCTACATTTTGGCTTAAAATTTAGCTTTGGTTTAAAAGTTATGACAATGAATGCTTACAAGGTATTACTTGGGTATTACTTTTAAATATTTTTTTATATTATTTGGAAGTTTGAAATTGTTTAAAAACTTATTTGTGGCGTTTGAAAAAAAATATCATGTTCTGTTCGTAGTAAAAATTACTTTTTGTGCCTCGCCGCAAAAAGTATCATTTTTATTCCTAATAAAACAATATACTATTTTAATATTCTGTAAAAACTACCTTTTGTGACTTGAATCTTTTTTTCCCTGTACAGGATGTCCCATTTTCGTGTATTTTACAGGGTTCTCGTCTGTGAGTAGAGATACAAATATGCGGTTTTCACATCACTATGCTACTTATCTATGAAACTAAAGATGATACACACAGATTGGTCCTAGCCCTCTTAGTTCTTGAAATACAGGGCGAATTTGAAATTGTTCAATTGTTCGACGCCCTTTACCTATATCTTATAACTTATACATATATAAAATATATGAGCCTTTATGAAAATGACAGCTTCCAACGAAAAACTAGTTAGCCACTGGATTCTCTACGGAACACAGTTTTCGCCTTTTCGATAAGTTATAAGATATCCGAGATACAAAGGAGGCCGAAAAATGCAACAATTCCAAATTCGTCCTGTCCTGTATTTCAGGAACTAAGCAGGCTAGGACAACTCTGTGTGTATATTTCATCTTTAGTTTCACAGTGATGTGAAAACCGCATTTTTTATCCCTACTCATAAACGAGACCTCATAAAACACACGAAAATGGGACACCCTGTACTCTTCATATGTATTGAGACCTACTTAATGTTAAGACAAGAAACATAATCTTATAATATATTTTTGTTTGCAGATAATCACGCTACCTGTCCCCAAAGTCCGATGTCCCGCACGTAGCTCTGAGCGATGGACCGTCACAGTGGCGGAGGACCACCGCCCCACCTGCGGGGGCGGCCTGTGTCCGGCAAAGACGCGGCCAACGCCAACGAATACTTCGAGCCTTTTCTCAACGCGACCACCCTCAAAAACATCCTCGGCTATCACAGGTAATTTATATTTTGATATTATTATTACAGGGTTCTCTACGCCACTGGCTCGATAAAAAAAATTAGGGTTTAATTTAGATACAAGTTGTTGTGATCCTGGGTTGGACCACCGTTGTCACCAATCTTGTAGTCGCTGTCACCAAATGTTGTAGTTCTCTATTTGACTCGTAACATCACTTGTGCTGGGAATGTTATTATTAATTTTTTTATAATTAAATCCTTACTAATTGGATATTACTTTTTATTTTTAAATTTTTAATACAAAATATAAATTTTAACTAACAAAAATTCAGCAATCTTAGATCTATGAAAGATTTTTTATGAATGTCTTTCGGTCCCTTCTGCGACCGTGCTTTTATGAGAATGCCCTCTCCGAAAATCCACGGGTGTACCTACTATTTCTTAATATTTTATGGTAGGTTTGCAAAGGGACAAACATGATCATTTCTTAAGTCAATAGAAACCAGACATCGTGTCTGAAAGTAAATGAATTACAAAGGAAAACTAAAAATGATGCAACTAGTTTGCGTCACCCATCTTTCTGAGAAGAATAATAAAATTAATGGTATTTTTTGTATCTTAAACTCTTTAGGCATAGCCGTAGTATAAGGGTAAAATTAATATTTTATACAATTTGTAGAATATACATACATATACATACATATAACCATATTAAATGTATGTTCACAACAAAGTGTAAATGTTTCAAGCTGAACTTTTCCGGTGATCTTTCTTTCTAGAACAAAACGAATTGTAAGAGAGAAACAGCAGTTAAAAGTAGTGTTGGGAATAATCGGATGATTTCAATCCTCGAGGATTCCAATAATCGGATGATCATCCGAGGAATCCTCGGTCATATCATTTTATCGATCGATCGATACCCGATACTTGCTGTTTGTTCATACATTGTTAGCACGTACCTACGAAACCGGAATTATTAATATTATAGCTTTTTTCATAGTTTTTTTTATATTTTCGCGTATATAATTGAATGTGAGATATAAAATTTTTATAGGTTGCGCTTAGTAACATTATCTTATCAACTTATCTCTAGCAATCTTTCAGGTCAAATGAAAACAAGTAATTCGGAGAATTACTTGTCTTCATTGAAACGATTTCAGTATAAATTGCCTTGTATTTTCGATTTAGCGTGTACGCCACACACGGTGTTAGTTGCGTGCCGAGTAATCCTCGAGGATTGACAAACATCCTCGAGACATACTGAGGATTTGAATAATAAGGTGACCGAGTATTTTTCATTCGAGTGTTCCCAGCACTAGTTATTTCCGGTGAAACAGGAAGTGACTAAAAACAATAATTGAATACGTTAATCATTCCTAATTTATGTCATTTACTAACATACCAAATCTCGTTATTTTATGTGAAAAAATAAAAAATTTATAGGGGTGAGCCACTTTTGAGATCCACCCGGTATATTTGTATCCAAACTAGATTCTAAAAAAATTAATGAACCATTTACGTAAAAAGAAACTGTAGTTTTCATAAAGTAACTTTTCTGTTGTTTTTTTTTCTGTTCTGATGTTTGCTTTAAATTTATAAAATGTTGGATGAAACATTTTTTTTTCTCTTCCAGGTCTATGTGCGAATTCCTTCACCTGAAACCGAACGTGTTCACGCACTTCTACCCGAAGCTGAAAGCGAACCTGACCTCGTGGAGGGCCAAGGCCCTGTGGAAGAAGTTCGATCTGAGGGCGTCGCACAAGTGCTACGCCAAAGGCAAGGCCTGCTCGGGCACCAAGGTCCTCGTCATCGGAGCCGGACCTTGCGGCCTGCGAACGGCCATCGAGGCCCAATTGCTGGGTGCTAAAGTGGTCAGTAAATCACCGACAACAATAATACCGTAGAGATCCGTAAAAACGGCGCCAAAGAAGGCTGGAGAATGACAGTCGGTGATAATTTTTGGCGATGTCTATCTCTAGACGTCATTTACTAAAAATTGGCATAAATGCCGCGTCCTTTTTTAATTCGAAGTTCAATAAAACACAAGTTTACTTAATCGGGATGAGTTGCATAGAGGCCACTAGCTTTTAATTTTAACAGCCGGGTGACAGGGATTCAAAGATCTTAATAAAAGAGCGCCACGAGATTATACTCTATGAATTCGGCATAAAAGATGTTACTATTAAGTAGACTTCAACTTAACCTCGAACTGTTGAGTGCAACTACCATGAACTTCAAATCTTACTATAATTATTTGAACTTAAGTGACTCTAACTTATCTATAAGACTAGACTGCAAATAATACTACTAAAAATGATTAAGCAATTTATTAAATATCAAAAAGTGAATAAAAACACGTGGCAGTTCATAAATAAACTTCCTCCGGCTGAGCTATGGCGTATAGCTACAGGGTTGCTACAGCGGTGTACAGCAGCTCGGTGTACTGTCACTGGAGCCCACGGATGTCAGCAGAGGTACAGGTGAAAGGTAGGTGTTGAGAATTCAAATGGTGAGCATAAAAACCCTAAATAATATTGGTTGTCTTAGAAAAGTGCCTCAATTATAGAACAAAGACTAGCACAACGTGTAGGAGTTAATAAAGGTATTAAAGAAGGACTAATCAAATCTGCACTTTACCTCAACGAGGGTTTATGATGTCTAACAGGTACCTCTACACGGACAACAGGAACGGATGGAATTCTGGACTGTTCTGTGCTACGGTCTGGATCGGTCTTCTTGATCTACAATTACGAACAACCAAATAAGATTTAAGAAAGATAACACTCAACTAATCTTTCTACACCACAAGTGGGCGTGGAAAAATCGAAAACCAGTCAACAATACGAATAAAAATCAGTTGAGCATTGACTTAGAATAGGCAGAAGAATTATAGCATACCTTGGAACTCTCGGGGACTTCTTGGGCACGTGCAATCGGAATATCGGTCGGTCGGAAAAATTAGGCTGTTTAATCCCTTACGGAAATTGGTCAGCGGTCCATCCAAATCATCAATCCTGCTAATCACCAACAGGGAATGCTTCACGAAACGGCAGCCAGTTCTTCACTCTTCGCGACGACATTCGGACGGTGGATACACAAGAAGTGATGCAACGATTCGATTTCCTTCACAAAATCAGAGTTCAACCGGAAATCTCCCTCCAGGATATAGATAGAGAACTATATATCTCGACTAGTCCAACTCACAAAAAGGCATAGATAAAAAACAATGTTCTAGAATATTTTCCACTGCCATATTTCATATCCGGTCAATGAACGAACTTAACTCAGAAATTCCACAATTAAAATGAACGAATTGCACACTGCAATCCACATAAAAAATAAACGAAAATTTCAATAACCAAAACAATGGATAAATAAATCCAAAAACATCTGACAGTGACAAGTGACGGACAGGTGATATCAAAGATAAAGAGAGGTCGACAAAAATTCTAATGCTGGGCGGCATCCAGTGACAATGTTCTGTGGCTGTATAATATCGCGATGTATATCGGGTTGCATAATCCTAAAATTTAAATAAAATAATATTTAACAATAAAATTAGTAATTAGTAAACATGATGCAAAAATAATAGTTATTTGCGATAATTTATGAGCTAGCACAAAGAGATCGTAGCGAGGAAATTTGACTGTTACATAAAACTTGTCAAAAATTAACACTAATAAAAAGATCTAAAAGAAAATAGAACATTTCCAGAATCATAAATCTATTTCTAAAGAAATACTTTAAACTACACCTGTTTAAAATTATTTTTAATCTAATTTATCCTTCTTAAGGCCAACTAGCAGTAAGCGCCATTAAAAAATATAGAGGAGTACGGGCCAAGTACATGCCGTCTAGGACTTACCATCGATTGTCATTCCCAGCTGTCTTTGACGACGTTGTTTTTTTGATCGTATGCTAGCTGCTGGGTTGTTATTTTTTATTTATTTGGTTAAGCACAAACATTTCAAACTTATAAAGGCAATTGTTAAAATATAACTGAGATGGTTTTTTTTCTTGCAACAATTCATAGTCACATACAACGGTTTTCTAAATTCGTGGTAATAATATACAGGGTGTTTACCAATATTTCATGGACATAGTACTACATATTGTAAATTTTTGTATTCACAGCAAGTTAATTGAACACAATTTACATCTGTGCTTTGTTTGTTCGTTAGGGGGTATCAATAAAAAATAAACCCTATCGCTGTGTAATTTAAAATTATAAAGCCTCATTCACAACCTCGAAATTAGCAAAAATTAGTGGTTCCAATTATACTCTATACTTATGAGTTTACAATCATTCACAATGTCCAAAAAATATAATTGAAATTAAGAGAATATCCTAGCAATAGCAATAGTCAGTTGTATTCATAAAAAAAGACTAATCTAATAATTAACTTATAAAATAATAAAATTTTATTTCTAACCACAGTTCATCTGGTTCCACCATCACGGTGATAATGAAAGGCCTAAATGACTTTACTAGCAAATTTTGATGTATTAATTAGTGGAAAAATTAAAAGTTTGTTAACTTTTTCTACCTATTGAAAATTACTATCACTAATTTTGACGTGTTGAATGTTTACACTGAAATTAGAGGATCAAACTTCTACGCTTATTGAAACCACTAATTTGTTCCACTAAATTAGAAACAGTCACTACTATTGAAAAATCCAGTGGCGGTGTTATTGTATTGTGTTTTATATCTTTAACTTGATTTGTGGTTATTGTAATTAGTACACGCGTTTTAACAAATATTACTATATTTGGCAAATGACTAAACAAAATGTAGGTACATTTAAAGTAAAATAATATTATAAACTTTACTGGAAAATATTATAAAAATTCCTGATATATTTTTATGAAACACCGCACGCTCGTAGATATTTTATGAATGAAATCGGTGATGATTTTAGAAAATTGCGATCCCTTTGCCGTTGCCCCGTTGTTCAAGATTCGTTTGTCAGACTGTATATATCTACTTTTTCCTGCGAGTAATTACACATAAAAAGAGTTGCCACGGTGCCGCTACCATGCCAGTGTTGGCGTACCAGTCGTGTGATCATTTATGACACTGATATATAATTCCACATTTCCGCCAATTAGATTATTATGGACTACTACTACTACTACTACTACTACTTTTACTAAAACTTCGCGAGGTGGCGGTTTTGAGACAAAAAATGTAGTAAATACTAGAAGGGCCTTTTTACGCAAATAACAGTCGTCGTTGAAGTTGCAAAACATTACCAGTATTTATGAAGGGGTTTGTGTGATTTTGACCCTTCTCGAATCTTTTCTTTTTTTTGGTGTAACTCAAATGTTAAAGCGCCTAGACAAACATAGGTGCCCCATATCTCATTCAAATCGGAATATAGATTAATTTTTTTAAAAATGTGTTTCTTTTTTTAAAATGTGATATCCTCTAATGGACAAACGAAGCACTTTTTTATGAGGTAAATTTTGTCCAATTAACTTAGTTTGATTCCAAAAATACACTATGTCTACGAAATATTGGAACGCGTTGTATACAGGGTTAGGGTTGCCACCTGTCCTTTTTTGGAATTAATTGTCCTTTTGACAATTTTGATCTTAAAAAGAGGTTTTCAACATTTTAGCGATTTATAATCGGCGATTCGCAATCAACAGCTCCCCCCCCCCTTTTTTCCCCCAAATAAACCAATACAATCGCAAACCAACGACGCATGACGGATGCATGTATACCTGATAAAGAAATAAAATATAATTTCTTTGGTGATAAATCTGTGCTTGGACGTTGCTACTATCTGTCTTTCTTGTAGGTCGTTGTAGAAAAACGCGATCGACTCTCTAGAAACAATGTTCTCCATCTCTGGCCTTTCGTCATCGAAGACCTGCGGATGTTGGGTGCGAAAAAGTTCTTCGGCAAGTTCTGCGCAGGCGCCATCGACCACATCAGCATCCGGCAGCTTCAGTGCATCTTGCTCAAGGTGGCTCTTCTACTGGGAGTGGAGGTGCATACCGAAGTCAGCTTCGTGAACCTGATAGAACCTAACGCCAGTAACAGTGAGTGTATTTTTTATTTGTAAAAATACGTAATTTAAAGAATTATTTTTTTAAGAAACCGGATGGAAGGCGGATATTAAACCAGATAATCACCCAGTGTCACAGTACGAGTTTGATGTTATTATCGGAGCTGACGGAAAACGAAACACTCTGCAGGGGTTCAAGAGAAAGGAATTTAGAGGAAAATTAGCTATAGGTATATAAAGGAGAATCAATATAAGATGGCGTACAGATTATCAAAATATTTGACGAATGCACGTTGCAATGTTGCAACGGCTACTTTTTTAAATAAAACAGTATACAGAGAAAATTAAAAAGGCCTTAACCCCTACAAGTATTCAAATTGCTGCATTAAGTTCATCAGACTTATATTTTTACTTTGATTTTACATTTCACTTGAATTTTAATATACAAAAAATATATTTTTATATCTACATTATTACTTTATCTATAATCATTATAAAAACAAATTCTAAATAGTTTGCCTAATTAAAAGCTGAGAAATGTAAAGTTGTAATTTAATAATAAGTAAGTAGTAGTAGTAATCATCTTTATCATCATATGTCAACTTTTGACATATTCGCTTAAAAACAAATTGTATTTTAAATTTCAATCTAGAGTGCCATGGCTGTGTTAAAAACACTAATTTAATTTTTAATCAAGGAGCCTTGCAAAAATAGATTTGATCGTCTAATGTTTTTAGTGTCTTGCCCTGGCCGGTTAAAAGATGCCCAAATCGTATTTTTGATCATATCTCAATTTTTTTCAAATGGAACGAGGGTGGTTCATTAGCATATTTCGAAAAAGAATTTGTCTAAGAATAATTTGATACCACACACTTGGTACTTCAAGTCAAATTGTCGTTATGAACCCATGTTACAATTTCAAATAAATCATATAAGCAAAAATTAGCGAAAATGTCAAAAGTTGACATGTGATATGTCATTCTATTCAGAGTGTCATTTTCTACCGAATAAAGTAAAAAAATACCGAGGGTGCGATTTAGAAATCAAAAGTTGTAGTCATTTCCGGTGAAACCGGAAGTAACCGAAAACAACTGAATATATCAATCAATCCTAATTTATGTCATATACTAACATACCAAATCTCGTTGAATCTGAAAAAATAAAAAAGTTATAGGGGTGAGCCACTTTAGAGACGCACCCGGTATATTTATCCGTTGCGTATCTGAGGGACAAAATTTTTCGACCTACATCGACAATGCTTCGAAATTAATTAAATCAAGCGAATCGCTCGCCGCTTACTACTTGCCGTTCATTACCGAAAGAATTTGTACCCTGCGCACGCAGCTTACTGCTTGGCGCTTGGCGTTAACGAGTACTTACAACATGCGACGGACAAAACACCGTATTTTTAAATACGAGCGATATTTCGCTCGAGTGATCACTCGGTTATTGCAATCGCTTGATACTCGAGTACTCGATTATTGAAATTAATCGGTTTTTCCCATCACTAGTGAAAATCCACTAAACGTGTTTACATTGTAAAGAAGCGTGGTGACATCTTTCGGGAATTGAGTAGCGTGCCGTCTTTTAGACAACGGAAGTTTTTGGAAGACAAAAGAATTCGACATAGTTTTAGAATAGAAATTGCATTAAGATCCGTAGCGATATATAAAGCGATCTCCGCGCTCGGCAGTTTAGTTTGGAATAAAGTTCTGCAATGAGCGAATTGTGACAAATTGGCGAAGGTTTAATGCGTCAGCGTACTGTCTTTTATTAACCAGCATATAAAGATTATAAAAAAAGGAACAGTGCGCCCGACGCCGACGTTTCAAACGAATTTTTATTAATTAGAAATTATCAAAGCAAAACCTTTGAAGGCGGGTAAAAGGACAAATAACTCACAATCTTTTAAGACGAACGATCATTCTCGTCAAAAATGAAAATATAAAATTGAAATAATATGGTCTGGAAATTATGATATAGACATTTATTTGATATTACAACGAAAGGCTTCCTTCTTGAAGAGTTATACAATTTATAATTACAATGAGAGAGTTGTGTAAATGTTAACAGCTCTAACTAATTTTATTTCTTTCGAGTGGTTGTACTTCCTAGGTTGACTTTTGTCTTTTGGGCCTGATGATGGGAATAGTTTAAATTCCCGAAACATGTCGCCCCCCTTGCTTTTTTGAAGCATTAAAATTTAAATTAAACAACTTAAAGATTGTGAGTTATTTGTCCTTTTACCCGCCTTCAAAGGTTTTGCTTTGATAATATGTACTCACACTGGGTTAGAGAACGTTTAGTAATTAGAAATTAATTAAAAGCGCCCAATTTTATTGATTTCTCTGTAGCTACTATTTTTTCTTAAAAATATTATTTTTCGACGTCTTGCAGCCATAACCGCAAATTTCATCAACAAAAAGACGGAAGCGGAAGCCAGGGTGGAGGAAATCAGTGGGGTGGCTTTCATTTTCAATCAAAAGTTTTTCAAAGACCTACAGGAGGGTACCCGCATCGACCTAGAGAATATTGTGTATTACAAAGACGATACGCATTATTTTGTCATGACGGCGAAGAAAGCCAGTCTGTTGGAGAAAGGCGTTATCAAACAGGTAAGGTTATTAATCTTTATTGGAGGCTTTCAATAAAAAAAATTAAGGAAGGAGTATAATCCCATCCTTGAAACAATTCTGTTTGAGGCTTCAATGGAAACATTTGAATTTGATTTGAAAGTTTTCTGATTTGTTTGTCTTTCCTGAGCTTATTTTATGTTATTTATTATCTATTCTACAATTGGTTCTGTTTTAGTAGCGTATCTGATATTTGTATTATGAAATAATTTTTATAACTTATTTTAATAATAACTTTTATTGGCGACGTTAAACAAAACTAATAAATTATTAAGCCTAGCCTACACTACTTTTACACGGCGTCAGCGTTGGCTATGAAATGAAATGAATATACAGGGTGGTCCGAACTGTATTGCGGAAACTTCGGGAGCATATTCTGCAGATAAAAATAAGTAAAAAAGTTCGTATAAATGTATGTTCTAAATTGCTTAGTTTCGGAGATACAGGGTGTAGAAGTTTCATTTTTATTTCGATTTTTTCTAAGTAATTTCTGAAGTAACGTCAATATTTGGATGAAAATTGGTGTCTGGAAGTTTTTTGACATGAGAAATTTGATTTTGATGTCAATATGACCCCTGTTTGTAGGGAGCGCCACCTACATGTGTTTTAACTGCTTTGAATTGTAATAACTTTTCGTCCGTACCTGTATAAAACTGTCGAGTGAAAAAATATACATTTTCGTGATTTTTCACGTAAAAAATGTCTCTTGGTAAAAATTGCAACGGGCAACCGTTCTTAAGATATTTAGAAAGGAAATAGTCAATACATTATTGACAAAAAATAAACATGCGGCATGCCGAGTAGTAGATAGTTATTTGACCGAAATGATAAAAAAATTTTCTTTGAAAAAAATGACGATAAAACAGTTTCTGTTGAACTTTTGGCACAAAAATATTTCAAATTTATGATTTCAGTGTAATAACTATAGTCAACATGTTTAATTTATGTCAATGATGACAGGTATTTATAATGTCGATTCCAAATATCTCGAGAACCATTACTCGTAGCGATTTTGACCAAGAGACTTTTTTTACGTAAAAAATGTCGTAAATGTATATTTTTTAATCAGTAGTTTTATACGGGTATGGACGAAAAGTTATCACTCTTCAAACCCAGACACCAATTTTCATCCAAATATTGACGTTACTTCAGAAATTACTTGGAAAGAATCGAAATAAAAATGAGACTTCTACACCCTGCATCTCCGAAACTAAGCAACTTAGGACATACGTTTATAGGAACTTTTTTACTTATTTTTATCTGCAGAATATGCTGCCAAAGTTTCCGGAATACAGTTCGGACCACCCTGTATAGGGTGTCTATTTAAAAAAATCAGTACAGTCATTAAATTCTATAAGAATCTGATTCTTCCTCTTTGATAAGACGTCAGTCAACTGAAATATGAGAGGGAACTGAAATTGCAACATTTTTGAATAACCTGTTTCATGGAAACTAATAGGGACATGACAGTTTTGAGTGCGGAATGTTTAGTTTTACAAAAAAGTAGCATAGTATGTTAAACCGCAATGTTCTATCTTCACTAAGGTTCTGCGCACACAGAAATAGCAAAACTGGTTTAGTCAGAAACGTCTCGAGCAAGAAGGATTTAATCTTTGAAGATCCAGCGCTCGACGTTCATCAGCCTGACTGTGACTAAACGAGCCTAAATCTGTCTTAACGCTCACGACTTATCAGTGTTCGTTAGCTAATTTAATTTATATTAAAGCATCACATGAAAACACCTTCACACAGAAAGCGTTTTGCGTTTTTTGCGTCTCAAGCGCTTTTTGCGATTTTACCGTTTTAAGCGCTTTTTTCGATTTGTGTCCATTAAAAACATGCAAAAGACGCGGCAGGTCTGCAGTTTCTATCAATATGTCAATTAGTAACGTCGCAAGCTCGTGGATTCCCGGCCCGTCCAACAATCAATCCTGTGAGAAATAGATAGGCGAGATCGGCGCCGTTAGCGTTGAAGAGACGAAGATAAAAGATGTTGGGATTGAATTGTGGACGGGCTGGGGCATATATTCGGAGACAAACACAATCTACTGCTAATGCCAGTGGTGTGTGTAAAAATAATTATTATTATTTGCCAATTATTTTACGAATTTTAGTTTTTATGTCTATAGTTTTTTATGTTGTAGTGTTGTGGTTAGTACTTGATATAATTATAATATAATATAATAAATAATTATAATTATATAATAGAATAGTAAATATCTCCAGTTGCTAATGCAATTTTAGGACATGATTTATGAAACATTTTGGAGTGAAAATCCTTTACGCGCGCTGGGAGTAAAAATTCAAAGCCGTGGCATACGAGCTAGTGAGACGGCCCTGACACACGAGCTCGTTCTAACGAAACGTGTTAACGGCTTAGAAATACGTAGTGACGCGACGCGCGACGTGTATTTGTGAGCAGTCCATGTGTTTATCAAAAATATTGATATTTTAATACAAATTTTGTAAAAGTGAATCAAATTATTACGAATAAAAAAACATTTGTTACACGTAAAAAACTATTTTATTTTACGCGAATAAAACTGTTACACGTAAAAAACAATTTTTTACGCGTATAAAACTATTTGTTACGTGTAAAAATCTATTTGTTACACGTAAAAAACTCTTTTTTTACGCAGCAAAAACTTATTGATTCGGGTGAAAACCTTTCTTACGCAAAAAATAATATTAACAAAGTAAGTAAGTAACAAATAGTTTTTTACACATAAAATAATAGTATTTTATAAGTAAGTAACAAATAGTTTTTTACACATAAAATACTAATTTTTACGCGTCAAAAACTTATTGTTTCTGGTAAAAAAAACTTTTTTACCCAAAAAAAATATTTTTGCGTGTAAAAAACTATTTGTTACATGTAAAAAATTATTTTTTTACGCGTCAAAAACTTATTGTTTCTGGTAAAACAACTTTTGTTACGCAAAAAAACATATTTTTTACGTGTAAAAAACTACTTGTTACACGTAAAAAACTATTTTTTACGCGTCAAAAACTTATTGTTTCTAGTAAAAAACTCTTTTACCCAAAAAATATATTTTTTACGTGTAAAAAAACTATTTGTTACACGTAAAAAATTATTTTTTACCCGTCAAAAACTATTTGTTTCTGTTTGTTTTTTACGCGTAAGAAAATATTCCTTTAATTTATTACTTTTTCAACATTTCAAACTATACTTTTTCAAACATTTCCTTCAAATTGTTGAATTTAATGGAATCTTCCTAAAGAGTAGATGTTCTTTATAAAAATATTTTTAGATAATACCCTAAAATGAAAAAAAAAATGCATACTATTTAATTTATTTTTATTGTATTATTAAATATAACGTCCGCCTATGACGGGGTCTCATCTTAGAAAACGCTAAAGACGCTACAGAAACTGATTTGTTTTCATTTGCGTTTTTTGCGAGACACGCCGAACGCTACACGCTCTTGGTGTGGCCACTCCTATATAATCCTGTTATTTTGTTTTAGTCACTAAAGACGCTTCACGCTAAAAACGCAAAAAACGCTGGCCGTGGGTTAAGACTGTTTTGCTTTTTCTGTGTGGGTTCAAGCTAATAAGCGAGATAACCCTAATTTACAACCAAAATGGGACACTTGTAGTCTCATTATTTAGATTGCTCAGGACACAGAAAGATGCTATTGCAATGAAAATCATTGTTTTTTATTTTTAATTGTAATATTATAATTATTATTATTATATTATGATAATAAGTCATAATATTTTAACTTTCATTTGAACTGTTTTGTTCCAAATCAAACATAGGATTTGGCTGATACTGAGAAGCTTCTAGCTCCTGATAACGTAAACAGGGAAAAGCTGCACCAATACGCTCGCGAGGCGGCCGATTTCAGTACGAACTACCAAATGCCCGACCTGGAATTCGCCGTAAACCACTACGGATTACCAGACGTAGCAATGTTCGATTTCACTTCGATGTACGCGGCAGAGTATGCATCCAAGGTCGTTGAACGGAACGGACATCGACTTCTTATGATCCTTGTTGGTGACAGTCTACTTGAGGTAAGTTTTGAATACCATTAGATAATAAAATCATACATTATCATTAAAAATTGGAAAACAAATTATATTAATTATATATCTTAGCTACTTTAATATTTTTTTTTGTTTTTAGCCATTTTGGCCTACAGGGTCCGGCTGCGCTAGAGGTTTCCTCTCGTCCTTGGACGCAGCGTGGGCGATCAGAAGTTACAGTACGGGTCTGATGACTCCCCTCGACGTTTTGGCCGAAAGGGAGTCCATCTATCGATTACTAGCTCAAACCACTCCTGACAATTTGAACAAAGACTGGAAAGCGTATACTCTGGATCCTGCTACTAGGTAAATATCTTAACTAGTAATATTAGAAATATGGTTTTTAACATTTAAGAAATTTTAAACTGTGTGTTAAATTCCTACATGTTTATATAAGCGAATTATTTTTATTAGGTATCCAAATCTAAACAAGACTGTCGTTTTACCCCACCAAACTGTGTGTTTGTACGATACAGACAACCCGGAAAGCGTGGAGAAAATGAAAAGGGCCTCCTTGGATGCCAATACTAAGCACGACCATGTATCGAAAAAACGAAGAAGAGGTAATTTTTTTTTAATAATATGTGTAGGTTTTTCTAGGACTTGACATGATATGTACCGAGTGGTATATTATAGAATATAGAATTATATAGATGATCTGTCATATATCTATTATCTATATATAGATAATAGAATTTAGATAAATACATTAATTTATTTTTTACGAGAATAACCCCTAAAATAACCATAATTTTTGTATTTGAGCATTATTTGAGTTAGATAACGTCAAATAAATACTGGATAAAGATGTAAAGTGTTCTTGATATAGTTAGATATGGCCATTTTCAATAGTGGTTTTTTGGTAATTACGCAAATTGGGTTACAAATATAAGCCACTGGTTGATTCCGTTGGTTTCTAATCCAGTTGTAAAATACCTAGAGCTTTTCTCATAATTTGATGTAAATTGTTACTTTTTACTTTACAGTCTTAAATTCATGCATGACAAAAAATTACTTATATTATAAGAACTGCGAAACTTTTAATCTTAACTGAATTTTGCTTAAAGTGAAAAAAAAATTAGAATTTTTTTTTTTAAATCCAGTACTCTATATAAAGTTCGTTCTTCTAGAACATAAATGACAGTGCGAAATGTCCATCTTTTTAATTCGTCTGTCGAAATATTCCCCGACTTATTGGACAGACATCACCCCCACTTCTCAGTAGTTTGTAATTTAAGTTCCGGAAGTTTAATTTTTACCGCTAAAATTCCCGAGGTCCTTAAATATGCCTCTATTTTTCTAATTTTTATTTTCATCATGACCTCTTAAGTCTAACCCAAATGCTACCAAAAACCTAATACAATTAATAATTTTATTTAAAACATTAATTTTTATCCGCATCATTATGTTTAATTAGAACATCACGTTAAGTCAAATTTAATTGAGTTTTTATATTTACCTTACCAAGCATAGAAGAGCTAAAATTATTATTCATTTTTTGCGTGTCTTTATTTTATCCCGTTTCCACCTGTACCTATTTTTGACCCAAGTCTCGTCGTCTTCAAACAAAACCAAATATATTTAAAGACTATATGGTTAATAGCCAAATTAATAACACAATGACCGTCGCACCGCGCGCCGGCGCACAGTGTAACGAAAACTAAAATAGTGGGACATTGGCATTTTTCTTCAGTTATAACTATTCTTGCTGACATTTTTTTGTCAGAAATTAAATAATAGACTAGGAATTTTTGCTACAGGGCGAAAAGAATAAAAAAGGCGTAATGGAAGGTCAAAAAAAATACGAAGTTTTATAAAAGCACTTTACAGGTATATTTTTTTATTTACGAAGAGTTTATAGCTCTTATGGACCAAAGACGTTATGAAATTACTGTCGAACAATAATTTATCTCCCGCTAATATGTCAAAACTCAATCAACATTACTAAATACTCAAATAATCAGGGATAAATTAGATAAGACTGCAAAACTCAAAGAGAACGACACAAGTGGCAAATATCATTTAACAATATTAAATAATATGATAATATGCGAAAAAAACGTATTCAACTTCAACAAAGGAAACCATAATACACACCTCAGAAAAAAATTCGCAACACTTATATTTTTCGTAGTATTTATTCTTGAAACGCTTCAAACATTTTTATGTGAAAAACTTAAATCTAAGGTCTGCCTGAGTTATAATATACTTTCTATTCCTTAACAAGTTGCTATTAATGCAAATAACTTTTGAGATTATTGTTAACCAAGAGAATTTAAGAATACTTTGCAGTTTTCCAAATTAATAAGTGATGCGATAATTTATGTGGGGTGTATATTATTCCAAAATAACATAATACGTAAGGCACTTACATAAAACATGCTTCAAAATCATTCTCAATTTCTTCTCCATCCATATACAAGAGCTCTTTCGCTTCCGGAAACAAGTCTACTTTTTTATTTTTAGAGTGCTTTGGTCGCAGATGTGAAAGTAGAGGATCTGAATATATCAATAAGTTGTGCAATATATCTTCAATAGTTTGGCACCAACAATGATGCAGCATTGAGGGTGGAGTGTTAAATACATCGAAGAAAATTTTGCCGGTTTGAAAAAATATTCTCTTGAGTAATTTTTCTCCAGTGTTGAGATTTTCTGAATTGTTATAAACTGTCCCCCACCCCAATGTAAGGATGGTTCCTCGCCCCTAAAATAGCATTCAGTATGTTCATAACAAGTGTATAGTTTTTTCAATAAAGAAATTATAGCACAAAAAATTACGGATAAAAACTACGGTCGAATCAATGGAAAACGTAATTATTGCCGAAGAAATTTATTTTTTTCTTCCAGATTCGGATCTAGGTGGATGAAATTTATATGTAACACTATACTAGAAGGTTCACTCTATGATATTTTGTATATATAACCTTGCGCGAATGTAAGCGTTTTTTTGAAAGGCATAATAAACATGTAGAAACTAGACTTAAAAAAGTTGGGACATTTTGTTCAGGTTTGTTGTTAGTAAAAGACCTCTCTTTACGGAAAAAATTGTTGGAATTGAACAACACAAGGAAACTTCTGAAAATAATAAATTTCATTGTATGAAATTTTTGTACAGATTTGGTAAATTAAGAAAACCATAACTTTAACCCGCCATAACTTCCCGACTAAGAGGTCAACTCAAGAAATATCTCACATGGTGGGGCTCTGGGATGTCCTTTATCCATCTATATAAAAAAACTTGATGAATTAAATTTTTTGTTTTATGGGCTAATGTCCCACATTTCCCAATTTCGTTACACTGTGCGGCGCCGCACTGTTTTAAACTCTAATATATAATATATATTTTTTTTTTCGTAATAGCATTATTTCAACCTGTTATTTTAGATATTCTTGAAACATATCTATCCGTTTATTGTGTTTGTTTAAATTTACAGAGATTAAATTTAAATCTATAAGTAATTAATTAAGTTAATCCACTAATGTCTTTTTTCATTTTGAACTGATTTCTACCAGGTGGAGTGGACAACGAGGTCCTACTAAGTTGGCTGTCCCATCAACTTCGAGACCACGATGACATCACCATCACCGACATCCCCTCGGTGTTCCAAGGGGGCAAAGCCCTCAGTGCAATCATTCACCATTACCGACCCGATCTCCTGGACTACAGTGCAATCAAAGACAACGAACCGGGCCAGTGCAATCAGCACGCTATGGACATCCTGGAAAAAGACCTGGGCATACCGCCGTTCATGACCGGCGAGGAAATTACCAATACTCAAGATTACCTAGCCATGACTACTTACCTCACTCAAGTGTACGATACGTTCAGAGGGGAAATACCGCACATCAAACATCCGAAATTGGTAAGTTCGTTTTTAGGGTTGTTTTTTAGCAAATGAAGAGGTTCAGTTCTTTCTTGCCTAAACCATGATTCCTGAAGAATTTGAGAATAACATAGTTAATTTAAGATTTTTAACATACAGAGTTTTTCGGGCAACCTTTTTATTTAAAGTTTTTAGAATATCATTTAACAAAGTAAGAAGTCCTTAATCTTAAAAATGTTAATTTTTAAGGTTTAGGACTTCTTGGCACTTGTTAAACTAAGTGCCAAGAAGTCCTAAGAAAAGTGACTACCAATTTGCTTATTTTATATCTAACCTCCAGTTCTAAATTCATTTTGTATTATGAAAATGACAAAAGTCGCAAAATATACAGGGTGTACCATCCGTGGACATAGAACTACTACGTATTTTTGGAACCAAAATAAGTTCATTAGACACAATTTACCTCTATACAAAACTGCTTTGTTTGTGCGCTAGAGGACATCAAACAAAAAAAAAATAAACACTTTTTCAAATATTTTAAGAACCGCCATTCCGTTTTGAATGAGATTTTGTGTGTCTATGTTGTATTGCTAAGTGCTTTAACATTTGGCTTTCAAAAAAATCCAGAAAAGTACGGGAAGGGTGAAAACTACCCGCACCCTTACACAAATTTTGTATTGTCAAGGTGTATTACTGGTGGCATAACTGCATACTGCTAAAATCGCAACGTGCATTGAGGAACTTGGCGCATTCGCCAGAAAGTAAAGAAAATTATAGAACTCTTTAGAAAAATCTAGAAACAACCGCCAGGGGGGTATATAAGGCCCCCGCGCTTTGACAGTTGGACAAGTTTAAAGTTTGAAGTCTAAGTCTGAAGTTTGAAAATACCGCGAAATACCGTTAGAGTAATAGTAGTTGCATAAGTTGTGTTGTAAATAGTATAAGTTGTGTACAGAGTGAAACAAATAAATTCGTTAAGTATTTTATCGTGAGTTTAAATAGTGGACCCACGGAATTCGTAACAATTGGTGTCGGAAGTGCGATTCAAGAGGATTTTAAGAAGAAATTAAGTGGATTGGAAGATTTTTAGACCGAATTAGAGTATTTTTATGGTTGGTACAAGGGGAGCAGGCGAAGAAAATGGAGGAAGTAAGCAAATTATTGGGCGATTTTATGGAGAATATGAGAAGAGAAAAGGCAGAAGAACAAGAGAGGTTGCGAAAAGAGAAAGAAGAGGAACAAGACCATCTACAGAAAATACTTATGGAAAATCAAGAGAAAATGTTAGAAGGTTTAGAAGCCCGTCAAAAGAAAGAGAAACAAGAAGAACAGGACCGGCTTGAGAAAATACTGGGTAATTTAGAAATTCGTCAGAAAAATGAATGGAGGGAAATTTTAGAAGATATAGAAACGCGCCGCCAGAAAGAAAGACAAGAAGATCAGGACCGTCTTAAGAAAACTTTAGAAAATCAAGAAATTCGACTTCAGAAAAGCTTGGGGGAACAGCAACAAGCAATGTTGGAAGTACGTTGCCAGGAACAGCAGAACCACTTTCAAGAAGCCGTAGAAGATCTTGAGGAACGCCTTCAGCAGAAGATAGAAAGATTGGAGATGGACCTACAGAAGACCAAGGTACAAGTAAAGACACCTGGCGTTCAAGGAACAGCGAACCTTACGGCCCCGACCTACGATGGACAAACGACATGGATAATGTACCACCGTCAGTTTGAAGCAGCCGCCGCTGCCAACGGATGGACTGACCAGGAGAAAGCAGCGGCACTTGTCATCGCGCTTCGCGGCCCTGCCCTGGAACTGCTGCAAACTATTCCTGTAGCCCAACAGCAGGAATACGAAACCTTGGTTGCTGCATTGGACAGAAGATATGGCGATCAACATCGACGTCAACTTTACCAGGCCCAGATCAAGACACGCCTGCAGAGGTCCGGAGAGAGTCTGCAGGAATTTGAAGCAGACTTACGTCGGCTGGTACACCTAGCGTATCCTGAAGCACCGGAAGGATTTAGGGAGGAACTCGCTGCTCAGTGCTTTATCAGCGGACTGAGGGACAACGAATTACAGAGGGCGCTGCAAATATCCCGATTTTCTACCAGCAGCGAAGTACTCGTCAGGGCGCTGGAAATAGAAGCTGCATTTAGCGCCATTCCTAAACCGAAGATAGGCTCGGTATCGGTTGAGGAACAGCCAAAGAGTTCTCACATACGTTTGGAGGAGATGCTTAATAAACTATGTGAATTACTAGTGAACAAGAGAGTCAACAACACCCAGACAGAGAACCAGAGAAGATCCCAGGATATTAGGTGTTATAGATGTGGCAGAAATGGCCATATCCAACGGGATTGTCGCATCCAAATGCCATTCCGTTCATCATTAAGAGAACATCGGCACATCGGAAGATCCCAGGACATAAGTTGCTATAGATGTGGCAGGAATGGCCACATCAAACGGGATTGCCGCGTCCAAATGCGATTCCGTTTACCATCGAGAGAACATAGGCACCAGGAAATCAACACTAATGAGCGAGTATTGGCTGAAGAAAACAGAGCCCCTAGGATGTTTTCCGTTAGGAGTCTAGGAAAAACCGCTGACAGTTTGGTGATCAACGGGAAGGTCAATGGTAGAAGAATTCGAATGACTGTGGACACAGGCGCTATGGTATCGTTGGTGCGGACTAACTCAGTGCAAGGATTGAAGATGATGCCTCTTAGAAGAAGAGTGTATTTACGTACAGTTACGGGGGAAATGGCCGTTGTACGGGGAGAGGCTTTCATGGAATTGGAGTTAGGGAATTTGAAGTTTCGTCATAGCATTTTAGTGGCAGACATTGAAGATGATTTTATCATGGGTATGGATGTGATCAGTCAACATGGTTTTTCGTTTGATCACCACAGAAACATCCTGAAAATCGGAAATGAGGAATTTTCTGTATCTAAAGAGAAGAGACCAGGAAATATGGAAGAAAGATCATCGAAAATTGTGATGATACCTGGTGATACCAAGAAGACTGTGTTCGGGAAAATGGAGAAAACCCTTGAGTGCCGTGTAGGACGGGTATATATTATCGACAACGAGCCAGATCGACGACGAGCGTCCTTGGGCAAGAAAAAGAAACATCGCGAAAGCACTATCAGAGTAAGGAATTTTAAACTGAGAACTGACGAACAATGGACGACGATACAGTTGAAGAAAGATCAAATGGAAGATCCAGACATCGGAGCAATACTACGACTCAAGGAAGATAACGGCGAGAAACCACCGTGGCAGGATATTGCGGACAGAGGGCTGGTTTTCAAAGCTCTCTGGGCTCAGTGGAATTCACTGGTGATTGAGAATGGATTGATAAAGCGCACGTGGGAAAGTGCGGATGGCAGGACAGTAACAACTCAGTTACTGGTACCAAGGAAGAAAGTCACCCAGGTATTGGAAGAAATTCACGGTGGTAAAACTGGAGCCCATCTTGGAGTAAACAAGACCTTGAGTAAGCTGAGAGACCGTTTTTACTGGGTGGATTATTGCGAAGATGTTAAGAAATGGTGTCAACGTTGTAAGATTTGCGCAGCTAGACAAAGACCAAGTACTCGATCTGGGGAAGAAATGGAACAGGATAGCGTTGGACTGTCGTTCGAAAGAATCGCTAGGAAGGAAAGATTATTGGACATTCATAAGGCCGTTAGAAGTAAGATTGCGCTAGCCAGTGACCGGATGAAAGCTCATTACGACCTCAGAGCTAATTCTACGGGATTTCAACAGGACGATAGGGTATGGTTGTATAACCCACAGCGCAAGAAAGGAAGGTCCCCAAAGTTAACTCCAGCATGGGAAGGTCCTTATACAGTCATCAAGAGGATAAATGATGTTGTGTACCGGATTCATCGCAGCCCTAGAAGTAAGATGAAAGTAGTTCATCTGGATCGATTGAAGAGATACCAGACAGGAAACCTTGATCGGGACGATCAAATTTGAGAAGGGGGCAATGTCAAGGTGTATTACTGGTTGCATAACTGCATACTGCTAAAAAATCGCAATGTGCATTGAGGAACCTGGCGCATTCGCCAGAAAGTAAAGAAAATTATAGAACTCTTTAGAAAAATCTAGAAACAACCGCCAGGGGGTATATAAGGCCCGCGCTTTGACAGTTGGACAAGTTTAAAGTTTGAAGTTTGAAGTCTAAGTCTGAAGTTTGAAAATACCGCGAAATACCGTTAGAGTAATAGTAGTTGCATAAGTTGTGTTGTAAATAGTATAAGTTGTGTACAGAGTGAAACAAATAAATTCGTTAAGTATTTTATCGTGAGTTTAAATAGTGGACCCACGGAATTCGTAACAGTATAAATATTTTCCGACTCCACCGACAACTGATTTTCTTTTCGTAAAATGGTGCTTTTAGTATTTACTACATTTTTTTTGTCTCTTGTAAAAAAACGCCACAACGTGCTACGTATAGTTTTTGTGATTTTTTTAAAGAATTTATTTTTCCAAAGCAGACCTACAGAATATACAGAGAGTTCTAATATTTCGTGAATATAGGAAAACTACATATTTTTTGGATCAAAATAAGTTAATTGCACATAATTTACCTTTATACAAAGTGCTTAGTTTGTCCATTAGAGGGCATCAATCAAGATAAACTCAAACGTTAATTAATTTAAAAATGATTAATTTTTTAGGCTTTTTATGCAGCTTATCGTCAATATAATTTGTGATACTAACATAAAATTCCTTATTTCCACATTTTATGCACCTTCATAATTTGATTGTGACAAAAAAATATTTTTTGGAATTCAGCTTTGGAGAAATAATTTTTGCCACACGTATGTTATCGGATCCGGACCTGAAGGAACTAAATAAAAGACTAGTTTACGTACGGATCGGCCAGCGCGGTTGATGCTAGGCAGGCGTGGGGAGTGCCAGCCGTATGTTTTCGGATCCGGACCTAGAGGAAATAATTAAAAGGCTAGTTAACGGGAATCTATTCAGTCGGCAGATCCGAGATATAATACAAGGCGACGACGATGGATTCGGCCTTGTCTATTGCCACAGCCAGCGTAATTACCAGAGAAAATTGTCGTGGATACTGTTTTTGATTTTTAGTTTGTTCTTTAAATATTTTACGGGAATGGTTCACTTTAGGTCCCTAAAATTAAGAAATATCTTATAAAACGAAGTAGATATTCTGAATTTTTAGACAAAAACAAAAAGCTTGAAGTGAGAAAAAATGCAATTTTTCGTAATATTTGCTCCAATTGATTTGTTTTTTCAACTCTGATTTGAGTTACTTTTTTAATTTTTTTTTATCTTCTGACAACGAATCCCATTAACAAGCAATGGGGATGTCAATGTTAGTCGTGAACTATTGTGAACTAAAGACCTAGTTCAAGGAACTATTCCTCTGGAGGAACTAGAACTAAGGAACTAGTTCCTCCCAAGGAACTAGAATTCCCACCTCTAGTGTGAGTGATTTTGACCCTTCTCGTATCTTTTCTCGTGTTTTTTTGCAGTAACTGAAATGTTAAAGCCCCTAGACAAACATAGGTGACATATCTCATTCAAATCAGAATATAGATTCTTGAAATCTTTTAAAAAATGTGTTTCTTTCTCTAACGGACAAACGAAGCACTTTTGTATAGAGGTAAATTACGTACCAAAAATACGTAATAGTTCTATGTCCACGGAATATTGGGACACCCTGTATAGGTAGTTTTATTTAAAATAAGCAAATTTGGTAAAACTGGTTCTACCAGCCATAAGTGCCAGGAATTTGAAAATATTTTTAATTGTTATTGGGTTAGGGAAGTACGCCACTGAGCCACTTCACTATTAGTTGCTCCTTAAAAACCAGCATTATTGTAGAAAATTAAACCCTTATCTACGAAACCAACTAATCAGAGCTCAATTCCTACACTCCAAAAAACTTCGGCGCACTTAAGTCACGACGACTTGACAACTAGCAAAGAAATCTTGAAGAAAAGATCAGTAAAACGTGAAATTTCCCGATTGGCAAAGTCTACAAGCGAAAAAAGTATTCTTGATGACAAAGAATCGCGTAAAAAAGGTCACTTAACATCGCCCCAAATAGATTTAACTTACGCCGATCTAGATCACTGTACAAAAAAGAAGAAACACCTTCAGCTGTTGGAAAATGGAAGTCAGAAGAACGTGAAGAGAATTGAATCAAGAAATGTCGCAGTTTCAGTTAACTTAATGCCGAAAAGAAAAATTAAATTGAAGAAAACTAAGTTGTCTATTATACCAGAAAGTACAGATGAAAAATTAAGCGAGCAGCAAGACAAATTAGAGCACAAAAGTTCAAAGGAGGACAAACCAATGAAAAGATATCGACCTTTGCTTCAGTCTCAAACATTTTTTGTCGCTTCTATTGAAAATTCTCCCCACCAACTTCAGAGGCACCATTTAAGGTCCAAAGCGAAAATGAAAACACTTAAAAGTTCGTTAGGTCTAAAATATTTCAATCCTTTACAAATTATAAGGAGGCACCTTAGTACGAAAAAGGCACAGATTAAGTCTTTATTAGCGAAGCCGTGTCAATCTAATTCAAAAATCGTAGAGAATGTACCTAAGATTCAAAGCGTAAAATCTGAAGTTGTTGATCTCAAAGATGAAGTGAATCTTTGCCCTAGTACTAGCGGGAAGTCTATAAAAATTCAGATTATACAACGAACTAGTAAAGATAAAATTACTTTACAAAACGTAGAGTTTAAGTCGTCTTTGAATCTAGTTAAAATAACTTCAAGAAGTTGTGTGTCTAAGCGTTTCAGCGGTCGAAGGTTTGAGAAATTACCTCAGTTAGTTGAAAACGAGGAGAATTTAAAAGTCGAACAAATATTCCTCAATAAAGACATACATTCGGCCAGTAACTATAGTTCGAAAATCGAGAGCACCAGTAATAGTTTACACTTTAACGGCGCACGCGTCAATTTAGGATCCTGTAATTTACGTAAGTTTAGAGAGACCCCAGAAAAAATACCTGTACCTCTCACCTGCGCCGACCTGCAGATAATCGACGCTCTAGGTGTCAAGTCCACACCTTTCAAAAGGAAATGTCACGGGAAGTGTAACGATTCGACAAGAAGACAAAAATTCAGGCCGCAAAACGCGATTTTTTATGGAGCAAAAAGACGGGACAAACTGAGCATGGCTTATTTGGACGACTGCGACAGCATCTCGCCGCAGAGCTTCTCCAGAGTCCAGAACTGGATCAGCCAGCACGATTTCAAGGACGAGGTCAAGAAAGATCCGGACGACGATACGGTTCGAGTTTATAAAACACAAATTTGATATTTTTATTAACTGTTGTTTTGGTTCTGCATAGCTCTTTACCTGTGAAATTGTTTCGGACATGACTTCAGTTACGCAGGCTCGCGCACGAGCCAAAGGTGATTATGACGATGTGAAAGTTGAAGCTCGGACGGACGAAGTCAAGTGTGAGAGCCCTGTAACCTCGGCCGAAGACTTGGCTGAGCTTATGCGAAATCTCAAGCAGGACAAGAGTATAAACTCGAGCAGACCGGCGACCAAGTTCACGCAGTACAATTCCAAAGCAGCGTCATTGCCTCCCATAGCTTTCCCAGCTATAATCGAAGCCAGGGAGTCTGGAGTAGGTTCTTCAAGTGTCTATTGGGATTATTATGAAAATCGAGGTGATAAAATTACATTTTCGTTGTTTTCTTTTTGCAGGAACTGCCTCCTGATACGAATAAACGCAGTGAGTTCTCTATCAAGTCCATCAAAACAGCTCATCAGCAACAAACTGCTATGAACAACGCGCAGTTGTCCAGGCCGTCCAGCCGGCATAAAAGACACGCGGATTTGACGTTGCAGAAGCCGAGCAGCGCGGAGAGGAAGCAGAGGAAGAGACGGACATTGGAACGTATCGGTCCGAGTGTGGTAAGCTTGCATTTTTTCTTATTACTAAACTTTATAAATCTTTAGGGTCATATATAATATGATTGAAAAAAACGGCGTCAGCGATGGATATGAAATGAAGATCGCTGTCATTTTATGTTCATTATTTCATGTACCTACTATTTATTGAGGAACAGAAAAATAAAGTTACTTCACTATACATTATTTTTGTTAGATTCATTTTGTCTTATTCTGTCGTTTGTACGAAAAAAATGTATACAGGGTGTCCCAGGCTGAGCGTGCATTAGAAGTTTCTAGAGAACTACAATATCTAGATCGGAGATTTTTTGCACATCATTGTTTCACAACGAGATCTATCGATTGAAAATGTATGGCGGCACTTCCGGAAATTGACAACAACTTTCTTATTTTGAATGGGTGCCCCCATTTTTTATTACATTACAAATTTTATGAATTTTGATATTAAACACTCTATACCTGACATTAACCGTTTTTGAAAAAAAAAATTTTTGAATGAAAAAAACTGCCTGTCAAAAATATGTGTATAGCCTAAACGTCAAATTTAGTGATTACTATAGCCACTGTGCCATAAAGAGAAGACATGTGGCTATCTATTTCAAAAATTAAATTGTTCGAATGTCATATTATAATGGCCGCAGCTGTCATGGAATTGAGCTATTAAAAAATTATCATTAATCATTTTTTCAAATGGAAACCCACTTTTTTATTTCACTAGTGAAAAGACTTTTCAATTCATTACTTTTTGACTATACATGTTCCTATACCTAAACTGAATCGTTTTTAAGTTATTTAAGATTTAATTTTAAAGCGTATATTTTTCTTGATATAAAAACGTCAAGTGATGTAAAAGAATAGATCTGGCAACGTCATATTGTGACACTTTGTTAAAAAAGCAGTATGTTATCATCATTTCCAAGCCAACTTTGCGCTGTTTTTTTTTTCATCACACTGACATCTACTATTAAATATCACTAAAGAGCGAAAATACGAGGTATATTTTTATAAATACACTTTTTAACCTCTTAAGGGGGGGCAGACAGTATTTATAATATAGGAAATTCAAATAATTCGTTTTCTGACAGATGGAAATAAATTGTCTAACTGTTTGACACTTAATGTCAAAGGAAGCTAGATAAAATCAAGAAAAGTATACGTTGTCAAATTAAACATTAAATAACTTATAAACGATTTCTTTTAGGTATAGGAACATGTATAGTTAAAAAGTAACGAATTGAAAAACCTTTTTACTAGTGAAATAAGTGGATTTTTATTTGAAAAAAAATGATTTAAGATAATTTTTTAATCGCTCAGTTCTATGACAACTACCGCCATTATTATATGACATTTGAACAATTTAATTTTTGAAATAAATAGCCACATGTCTTCTCTTTATGTCATAGTGGCTGTGGTAATCACTAAATATGTTTAGTTTTGTTACTGGAAATGCTGAAGTAATTCCGTTTAATCTTTTTTCGATAATTAAATAATAAAAAATTTCCCATTTGTTGCAAATCCAGCTTAGGACACCCCGTATAATGACAACAAGCTTCATTTACAAGCCAACTATGACGCTCTTTTTTCCAATTGTATGGTATTTTATTATATTAAAAAAACTCAAAAATATTATGTGAAACACTTTTTCCCATGTCCTTATATCCTCACCCATCCCTTCCATTCCAGATTTATTCCCGCTGGTTCGTGCCCTTAGTCGAAACTATATTCATGGGTATGGTATTATTTATCGTGGACGTTTACGTCAATCCAGAGGAGTACATCGAACCGCCCATTTCCTACCTGGATTATTTCTGGACTTAGGCCTCAAAAACCAAATTAGCTTTAATACTCGAAATAAAAATATGCCACATCCGACATTATTTTGCTTTTTAATATCTTTAGAGTTCACATCATTGCAAATTTTAAAATATCTGTTTTTCAGAGAATTTGTATACTTTTGTCACCGTGTCCTTTCTCTTACTCATTTAAAAGATTTATTCGCGTCTGGCAAGTGTTAAAAACCGCTGAATTCGTCTGGCGATTAACACATATTTTTTAATATTAGAGAGTTTTTAGGTCGCCTATTTGGTAAATGACGTAAAACGCTAAACGTTATACTGATCATGCCCAGTTTGTGAAAAATAACCGACAAAATTTGTTGGCTAAGTATTGTCATTTTAGATTTTGAACCGTCTATTTAACACGTCATCTGTCAAACGTTAACGTTGCCAAATAACCTCACAAATTGAGTTTTGTTTTTCAAATCAAATTTTGCAAATGTCAAGACGTCAAATGTCAACCATCAACTTGGATACTACATCTTGGAGTTGCCAATTTTTGTCACTCAAACATGTTGGTTATATCATTTTGAAGGACAAAAGAAGACTACAAAAAATATATTTTTAGGAACTATTTTACGTATTATTTGTAACCCTTTTGCAGCAGTTTTCTTTTTTCTGTCTTCTTTGATTAACCCAAATAAGTATTACATTTGACAACCATGCTAAATTGTATCCCGTTATAGCGTACCGTTTATTTGAACCTAAATAGCGGCGAACGCTATCCACTAATAGAGTAATCCCTTATTTTTGTATCAATGCGCATGCTCTATATAACGGATAACGTATAAAGCTGATCAAATAAGGGGCTTAAAAAGTCTCTATTATCTAATAAACACGCTATAAAAATTTTAGAATGCCTAAAGTATATTTAACAGGTATAATTATTAAATATATTTAGGATGGTCTGGTTGCACTTCAAAACCGGAAAAAAAGTCTGGCATACTTATTTCTGGGTTAAATATACGCTAAAATTTATTAATAAACAAATTTCAAGTTGCCTAAAGGATATTTTTTGGATTTATATCTTTGCAAATGTCATGGGTTGCGCAGTAGCGAAATAACGGCAACCCCTCTGCCAGATTTAGGATTCTCGGTTCACCAGTTAATAAACTATAATTTTTTTGTTATTCTAACTTGCCTAAAATATGTTCTCTAAATATGTCGTCAGCTCTTAGACTATAATAATAATGGTTCACAATTTGCATTTCACAATGATATGAATTCGACTTAACGAGGGTAAGTTTCTTTTTCCCAAAGGAGGACCGCCAAAAGGTTTTGGAAGAAATCGTAGCGAATCGCCAGGATAGGATGAACAAGCGCAAACAGCACCGACAGAGACAGACGGAGCAATTTATCAAAAGCATGCAGATGCTTCATGCTAACGCCAAACCAGATAAATCCGAACCATTCGAGGATTATTCCATTTTTCTCTACAGACAGACCGCACCCAAATTCAAAGATAGAGTCAAAGACTTGGAGAAACAGTTCACTTACGTCCCCGTAAGAGGGTGTGCAGTGTCGTGACCTGTCGTTGTCTATTAACTGCCCAATATTTTAATCCCGTTTGTTTTGATGTGACACTAACAGTAATATATTTTTATTTAATGTATCTATGCTTTAATGTCTTTAATAGATATGTAAGATTTAGTAAATCCGACATATGACGCTTTAAGGCGCGATTTTCTAGCGACATCTGGTGCCCGCGTCTCGACGCACACTGGTTCGTTTTTTACGAACGTACCGGGTGGCCAAGATATTGCGCTTTTAGAAGTAAATTGGTTACGTCAAAATATCAAAACGTTTAAGTTCAGTTTTCATGCATCCGAATTTCGGGCGTTTTCTTAAAAAAAATGACGTCATAATTATTTAAACGTGTTTATATAACATTATCATCGATCCATATAATTTTTACGAATTTCTTGGTTAATTATACGTAATTAGTTCTCAGATTAAAATGTCCGAAAGTCGAAGAATCAATAATTTTATTAAAATTTCTAGGAATTTTGTGCCGCCATATTGTTTTTAACAGAAAACCGCCAAATTTCGTATGGTCGAAAACTAGGGGTTTATTCATATAACGTCATTGAGTTATTAATCCAAGTTCGTCCTTGATTTCACTTGTTTTCGTGTTTTACCTGTTGTTTGTGTTATTTATTATTATATTATAAAATTTATGTTGTTTGGGTCACTTTTCATATAGCACCGAACGAAGGTGCGAATCTTAACTTAGCTCGAAATCTGCCCTTGATGCAAGCAGTTTAGCACCAAGACCGTTGGTCGGTATATGTTTACGCATGAATTCTAGGATGGCGAATGATTGGACTTTTTTAATTATCTGAATGAAATGAATTATCCATAATTTCTAAGAAATGAATTGCCAATTTTGTTAGGGGATCCATCATGATTAAATTGCATTTGTTGCAATTTCATCAGCATGAATGCCGTTGGTGTAGTTGAGGCAGTGATGCCGCTTGATGGGGCCTGATGTGGCTTCTTGGATACCACTTACTTTAGTAGATAGAGACGCTGGAGCGGCATATTTCCATGGCCAGCTCGGTCATCGGATACAATATGCCTGGGTTTTAATTTATGGGGTCGAATCAAGAACGAAACATGGATAGATAATAATTAAACGGTATTAAAATGAATTTAAAATATATGTTTTGATATTTTGACGTAAATAATTTACCTCTTTTTGTTTCCTAGCCTACTACTATAATTTTTTGACCATATAAGCGGCAGCTAACATGATTTGTTCTCTTAATATCTCCGGTTAGAGAGAAGATAGAAAGTTGCGGTTTGCGCTGATATTTTGGAAATTTTTTGCTCTATTTAACTGTGTAAAGAGAAATATAGCCTCATATTTAATTTTTTTACGCAAAAGCGCAATATCTGTTATGATGTCAAACAGCGCCCTCTAGCTACCACGAAAAAAATTGTTGAAGCAAAATTTATACTGGAGAATATTAAGGAAGAAAAGCTCTTTTAAACGAGCCCTAGTTTGTTTAAATCGCGTAACCTAAACCAGAGTTATCCTTATTTTAATAAGAGCAAGTTTAACCTTCCCCCACAACTTTATTTTATAAGATAGAGCAAAACACTTTATATCAAAAAAATTACAAATTTCTCGATTATTACAATAGTAATATTTAAAATACCTGTTCACCTGCATATTTTTGAGAAAAACCCTGTTTTCTGATTAGCTATTAGAGAAACGCCCCCTAGCGGGCATTTTTCGAACTTGAAGATGATTTCCAGCGATTTCTCTTGGTCGATTTACCTATTAGAATTTTTTTCCCAAAGTTATATGACAAGTAGTTTATGAGATATAGCCGGCGTCCATTCTTATGGCTGATTCATGGTACACCGTGACGGGCCGGGGCCGTGCGACGGTGAAGGCACGGCCAAACATTGTCAAATGTTATTTATACCTATGCATTCATGCTAAGCCGAGCACGGGCCGAGCTTCGCCGGAACCCGTCCGTGCCCCGTCCGAGAAATGTCGGTGTACATTTTTCCTCGGATCCGCTACGGTCCGGCCCCGTTGCGGCAAACATAAATGAGTCGCCCGGGCTAAATACTTCGTTCATCTACGGGCCTATAGCGGCTGTTTTCTAGCAGTGTTGCCGCACCCAACTTTTAGCGCGTACCACATTATAAACTAAAAATGTACCACTTTGGTACAATTTTTTAAAGCACAACAAAATACATCTGCATATGACTTTAACCGGTTTGGTCGCTGTGAATTTCTTCATAAATTTCTACATAAAAAAACTTCCTGGAGAAAGACACAAATCGAGACGAAAAACATGAAATAGAAATTCAGAAAACCCAATTATAAGTATGTATAGGTTGAAGAAATCTAAGTAATTCTAATACTACACACAATACTTGGAAAACTTAAATTTTATTTAAAAAAAACGCAAATATAGAAGCATGTTAGAAACAGTAAATTTTCAAGTTTTTTCTTCGGGTTATTTAATATAGGCAACGCTATAGACATTACAACGTTTATAATACGTCGTTAATTAATGCGGATTGTCTCCGAATGGTATCGGTAAGCGCGTTTAATGCAATATCAACGACAATAATTATTAAATATCTATTCATTTTCGGTGCGCGTGGGAAATAATTATTGTACCAAATCATCCTGGATTTGAAAATGTAGTACCACTGTACCAAATAGAATTAAAAGTATTAAATTTGGTACAAATGTACCACTGTGGCAACACTGTTTTCTAGAATATAATCGGCACGGACATGATCCCCGTTGTCCACTCGGTGTAGCATATATTGAAGGCCCGGACGTGGCTCGGTGTCTACTTTACGGAACGTGCCCGGCTCGGGTACGGCCCGGTGTACCATGAATCAGCCTTTAGTTGGCCACCCGGTACGTAAACCTGTATAAATGAAAATAATGTATCACTTTATAGGGAAACGAACAAGTGCACGGCGGGCCGTGAACGCCAGACGTTACACCTTTAAACCACCATTAAATTACTACGCTCATACCATATAAGTCAGTATAATTTGGTTATATTAACGACACAATATACAGGGTGGTTCTTAATGATATTCTAATATTTAACGGGGTGAGATTCTGAGACATATTCTAGGAAAAAAACCTCATATGAATGTACAGGGTCGCTTTTATGTATGGAAACGGTCGATTATTAGGTAAAATATAGGAGGTACCGCAAAAAGTTAAATACAAAAGTTATAGGATTTTTAAATATCTATTAGCGAGTAATAAATTTAAGTATACAGGGTCGTTCATAAAGTCGTGGCACATCAAAGTTTTATTTTTTTAAATAGAACCCCCTGTATATTATTGCATATTTCGGTTCTTCCTTCACTTCTAAGCAAAAATCGAAATACACACAATGTACCTCAAAGCAACCGTTTCCGAGTTATTGACTTTTGAATATATCACTTAAACAATTCGATTTAATTAATTTCGATGTGTTTCGTTTGATTTAATGATGCCATTCTTCCGAAACTGTGATACTGTTGTAATGGGTTTTTAAATTCCTCTTAGCTGTTTTCCTAATCTGCATACTGTTTTAGAGAAAAATTAAAAAAACCTGAAAATATAGTTGAATTTTTTCTAAGTTCTAAAAATCAAAAGTCGTTTCTATGGTAATATAATTTTGGTTTCATTCTTTGATACATGGTTTTTATTAATTTTGATTAACGTAATATTTTTTGCTGATCTAAAACTATTACATTTTCCGATAAATATAATATCACCCTTTCCGTAGCATTGAACTAAATAAATGTGCTGTCTTTAACATCTTAAAGCAGCAAAAAATATGACGTTAACTAAAATCTATCAATAACAATCTATCAAAGAATGAAATCGGAATGATATTACCATAGATAGCCTTTTAATTTTTAGGACTTTGACTAAATTCAACTATATTTTCAATTCAATTGTACACCATTGACTTATTATATGAGTATAATATTCAGACATTTTATTGTATTTCTGGACTTGACTATTCTTGAGCTTATTTCGTGGCCGTCTTTCCCGGATTTTTCGAAAGTAACGCCTAGGTATTGACTTGGTTTTATTGCTGATTGACCCGATCCAACGCAGAAATATTTAGTTTTTGTGATATTCATATCCAGTCCACACACTTGGTATTCCCTTTAAGTTTGTGTGTCATATATTCCAATTCATCTTTGTCTCCTGCACAAATAACCTGGTCGTAAGCGAATTGCAAAATCTATAAACAAGAATCTTCACTTATTGGTATGCCCATGCCTCTACACCTGCTTTTCCACTGTTTTAAAACATAGACCCAACAATCACCCCCTTAAATATTAATTATATGTCTTTAAGGAATACTCTATTTATTTTATAATGATATACAGTTGAACCTCCTTAATCCGAATACCTAATTGTCAGACCTTATTCGGATTATTGAAGTGTTCGGATTAGCAAATATACAATAAGTCTCATCATTACGCATTTTTAAATCTTTTTATACTATTTTTTATACAATTATTTTTTATATATTATCTAAATATTATGTAGACACGCAACTTATGTACCCAGACTTCTTTTTCAGTTTTTCAACAGTTTTTAAAAAACTTTAACGAGTGCTTGGTCTGTTAATTCCTGTAAGAAGAGGATTGTTTAGGAACTTTATTTTGTGTTTTTAAGCAGTACAAGTAGCTGTTGAAGCTGATACTGTATAAAATGACGTCATATAGCCAATGGTTGCTACTAAATAAATAAGTACCTATGATATATCATAAATACATTTTTTTGTCTATCTGATGAATGAAATAATATTAATTTTGCTTGTTTTTTGTCAATTAACTCTACAGTTCATATTGTTTCGTATTTTTATTAACTACATACAATTTTTTTAGGATTACGATAACAGAGCAACTGGTATGAAGCCTTTAGCCAACACGAACGCCGACGAAGATATCGCTTCGAAAATTCGGAGTCTAGAAGATAAGTGGAGTAATCCACAGCCAGTTGAGAAGAAACCCAAAGACCTGTTGCGAGCTATAGGGAAAATAGGTAAAACATTTAAATCTTGAAAGTAATTTAGACCTACAGAGCTCATTTTTCAGAAACGTCGGATTGGAACATCAAACAAATCGAGAAGAAAATTTTAGAGAATAAACTGGGTAAGCCGTCCACAACAGTAGACAAAGAAAGAGTTCCAAGGTGGAGCAGAGAGGAATTCGTAGCCAGACAAACGAAAATGGAGAACAAACGTTTAGAAAGACAGGATAGTTCAGAAGGTAATTATCAAAAATATTATATTCTTCTGAAAATAATTAAAAAGATTTTAAAGAAACTATTTCTCACATACATCAGAAACATTTTGTGAAATTTTCTATATTTTTCTGTCGGGGAATAGTGCTGTAAAACGATTGATAATGTATTTTTGGGGTACGTTTTAAAATAATCAAGAAAGAATAAACTAGCAAATGCCAAGAACGAAGAATTAGCGCAAAATAAAAGTGGTTGGAAAATTAACTATTTTTTAAAATTCTATTCTAAATTTTCTGGATTTTTCTTAATATTCTGGAGAGAAACGAGAATTTCGAGAACACGCTACCATTCTTTCTGGGCATATTTTATATTGCAGTGTAACTACGTCTTTGGTAACTACGAACACTATGTACTGCAATTTGCAAATTAAAACGGCAAAACAGTAGCTAAATCTAAAATAAAATAAATTATAAAAAATAAAAGTTGTCGCTTACTAAATGTCTATGTCTATACCGCGCTGGCAAGTCTTCTTTTTGGGTCGGTATTTAGATGTGTAGAAGTGAATCGTTTGGGGATCATATTAAGTCGGTGTGAGAAACATACGATGGTTTGGGTTGGTTGCGGCATTGCCACATTTATCGGAGATACAGGTGCGTGTTTTCCTGTCTAGTGGAGTAAAATCACGGTCGATAGGCACTTATTTCTAAAAGTTTTTTTCGGAAAGATAACTAGATAAAATAATTAGATACGTTTCTGGGCATCTGAAATCGAGTTATAAGAATATCGTTATGGTGTCCATTTTTTTATAATGAAGGAACGTCAATAATCACGGTAATTTGAAAACTCAACTTTTTAACACACAACACGCAACTCAAGAACCACCTTAAATACTGAAACTTTATTTTTTTTATTTTGAACTTGGGATCTTCGACAAAATGTTTAAATGAGAAAAATTTAATAGGCTTGTTTTTATTTTATTCAAAAAAAATAAATAAAAAACGCGTCTATCAACTCTTACAGTGCATGTGCATGGCAATTTTCAGCAATCGTGTAACTTTTTGTTTGTAAAGATTTTCAAACACTCTCTGCGAAGAAAATATAGAAGAAACATTATTAGTTCTAGTAGATTTCCAGATATCGATTTTTGAATTCAGAGTTCTAATAGCGCAATCACTGTCGAACACTCACTCATTACCACTTATTTTTAACAACTGTGGTATACTTCTGGGCATTTTAGAGTCGTTGTTTCATTTCTAACTTACATTTAATAATTTACAAGCTATAAGGATAATTAGAACAACGATTGTTTCAAAATCGTGAGGCTGAACGCATGATAGAACTTCCCTAGATTTCTAAATACTGGGATTTAAATTTAATGATAATTTAATGATTTTTATAAGGCGCGGCGCTACGAAGCTGCCATATCCCCTTCCTCGTCTCTTGGCAATGTGCACAGTTAGTTTATTTCATACATTTTTCAACGTTCTTACTCTTCTCTCTTTATAAATCTAGTACTCTTCTTACATACGGAAATTGAGACCCAAACTCAAGCCTTGCCAGGACGGTATAATATTGTGTATTATGAATACTGTAGAGTAAATACTGTTTTTGTAAAGGCTAATGTTATTTAGACTGAAATACAAAGATCACCTTAAAAATGTTTATAGGGAACGTTTTCTCGTTTGTGTTTTTACATATTATGGGAACGCTCCCTCACAATGATCCTGATTTTGGGAACGTTCCGTCATTATGAATAGTACGTTTTCTCCATTACACCACTACGTAGGAATAAATAAATAATCTAGTTATTCGTTGGTTAATAAATAAAAACTCTAAAAGTTTTGAGGTTGACACTGTATTTTTAATATATACACTTTTTTAGCGAAATATGCTGACATAGACAAAAATATAAAACAACTGGAATTGAAACTGAAGGAAGGCACGACGAGGGAACTTGGCCAAAATAAAGTAGCTTCGATTACCGAAAAACTAGTCAGTAAAGTGCCCCAGGAAATCGAAAAGCCTGTAGAAAAAGTAAATAATTGTCATTATAATATAGTTATTTATATTATAAGTTATTTTAATTTTTAAGGTTCAAGCCAAACCTGTAAATCTGCCCATCAAATCTGGATCGGAATTCTGTCATTTTTGTAACAAAAAAGTTTATCTTGTGGAAAAGATATGTGCGGAAGGAAGATTTTTCCATAACGGATGCTTTAAGTAATATAAAATATTCAAATAACTTATATTTAATAAAAAACTTATTTTAAATTTGTATAGGTGCCAGTATTGTCATATTCAGTTACGTCTAGGGTCGTATATGTTTGACAGAGACGGACAATTCGGACACAGATTCTTCTGTAGTCAGCACTACGGAATGCCTGGAGAGTTGCCTAGACCAGCCAAAGTTTCTAGGAAGCCTAGTCACAGAGGTAAGTAACAGTATTCTCAAAAGATTACAACAGGCACAAGTGTCATTAAGTTAGAAAATACTAGTTCGTCCCACTAGTCAACTCGCATACCCAACAATGTTGCCGTTTGCTGCCGCCTTATTTTATGAACGGTTTACATATACAATACATATACCGTATGATCGATTGCATTCCCCATATAATTTGTTTGGTTAATAAATAAGTGAAATGAATGCCAGTATTTCTAATAGCAGTGTTTGCAATAAATAAAAAAAACTAAAACACGTTAAAAAATTTCATCTGAACCAGATAGAGGAAATAGCACCTTTAAAAACTAAAGTATATGCATTTACCTACGAATTTTCTAATTTACATTTTAGTGCAAAGAAGAATTTAGCATGGCATTTAAAATCACATTCACAAGTGGCACAAGGACCAAATTATCACAGAAGTGAGACAGATTCGAGTGTAAGCATTGTCATCCAGGATATTAGTAATGATGGTGCATAGACTTTGACTTTGTCTTTCTTTATCCTCTTTAAGAATGGAAAATTTGATCTTAATATCCTTGATTGAGGGATAATCATAGAACTGTTTTAGGTGATGGTTTAAATAATACCAATATCCCTGTACAAAATATTAGAAAAAAATGTTTTATGTGTGATTTTGTCAATAGGTTTAAAGATGACTTACATGAACATTTTAAACGGGATCATGACATTAGTGTTAAAACAAATTACATGAACTTTTCCTCAGCAGAACAATCGAATTCATGGTTTTCTCAAAATAAACGAAATATAATATTTGAATTCAAAAATAATAGATAAAAATCTTGCTAAATGATTTGGACTAACGTTCACTCTGAATAAAATGCAGTGAAAATTAAGATCTAAAATAGTTGCTTATCAAAAGTTTTTTTTTATTAAAGTATCATATATTTTCATAAATTAAAATATTTGAATTTAATTTTTAAACAAATTTTAAATCTCTAGTTAATATTAGATTATAACAGAATAAACAACCTACACTAAAACGCACAAACTTTTATATTCATTTCACTCATTCTTACTTTACCTAGTATTCTGATTACTATTTAAGAACGTTCTAACAAAATAAACCAAATAACAATCAAACTTTGAAATTAACTGTAAAAATAAACGTGTCTAGTTTAGCTGAGAATTGAAAATCATGAAATTAAGGGACAGCAAACGGCAACATTGTTGGGTATGCGAGTTGACTAGTGGGACTAGTAGAAGCTAGTTTAGAAAATTTGCTTGATATAACTAATTTTTTTCGATTTTAGGAGCGAGAGATATTAGTAGAAGTCCTTCTAAAAGACTCATGTCTGGTGTAGCCGGTGTCGATTTACTTGATAAAGGTATTTAAATTTACAACACACCAATTTTAGTCTAACATTCTATGTTTTTAAGTTCGAACTCCAGAAAGAATAGAGTTTTCGAACATTTCGCGTGACGTGTCTTCTGAAGATGAACCGCTAAGTCAAATGGACGAGGACGAATGGACGGATAAAAACTTCGGAGCTTCTTGCAACGAATTGGACGAAAGTGATGGCGATTCTTCTTCTAGTTTAGGGTAACAAACTAACTTTGCAGGGTGCAGGGTGTCCAAGAAATGCAGGGTGTCCAAGAAATAAGTATATTAACTAGTAGTATAGTTTCAACATTTTTGGCGAAAAAAAAATGTTGACATTTTTATATTTTTCTTGACATTTTCTGGAAAATATTGAAAAACTTTTGAGTGCCGCTTGTTCTGTTACGGAAAATTTTGTTTATAGTGCTTCGAGAGAATGAATTGCAGCCTCCTACTATGTTATCGGCATTCTGTACGTTTATAAGTTATAAATTGACTTTTTTAAATTTCTACAAAAAAATATTTAATATTAATTGTATTCACTGTAGATTTTTTAATCATTGTTTAAACAGCTTTTTAACGGTTCAGAATCAGCGCCCTCTATTAGGTATGTAGAACAGATCAGCTGATGGCATTTTTAGGTTTGGTTTGATTTGGTTTGGTACCAGAATCTCAGCTTGTTCGCCACCCAGTGTTAACACACTCGACTAGAATTATTTAAAAACGAATTGAAAAATTCAGATTAAACCTAAAAAACCTACCTAACATTGGAAAACGATAGCTAACAGATCGATGCAATTAGGTTAGAGCATCGTTTTATCACTTTACCTAAAACCTTAACTCTACACTTAAATTTCTTGACAAAACTACACTTACACATATATTTGGCACAAACTATATTATGCCATCTTAATTATTTAGGATTACTTTTTGAGATAATTTCCTCTGTTTCTCTATCTCACACTCTTGTTTTTGCGAATAAACACCAAAAGAATTGATATTTCTATTTGAATAATAAAAGTATTTTTACAGGCTTACCTTACATTTGCTTTTTTTTTAGTTTTGTTAGAGATATTATTTTCTGTTTTTGATCAAAGTCTCAAATGAAACGGATACATTTGAGACTTTGATCAAAAACAGAAAATAATATCTCTGACAAAACTAAAAAAAAGCAAATGTAAGGTAAGCCTGTAAAAATACTTTTATTATTCAAATAGAAATATCAATTCTTTTGGTGTTTATTCGCAAAAACAAGAGTGTGAGATAGAGAAACAGAGGAAATTATCTCAAAAAGTAATCCTAAATAATTAAGATGGCATAATATAGTTTGTGCCAAATATATGTGTAAGTGTAGTGTTGTCAAGAAATTTAAGTGTAGAGTTAAGGTTTTAGGTAAAGTGATAAAACGATGCTCTAACCTAATTGCATCGATCTGTTAGCTATCGTTTTCCAATGTTAGGTAGGTTTTTTAGGTTTAATCTGAATTTTTCAATTCGTTTTTAAATAATTCTAGTCGAGTGTGTTAACACTAGGTGGCGAACAAGCTGAGATTCTGGTAATTGCTTGGTATTTGCGACTAATTATCGATTGCTGCCGGCGGCTCTCAAAATGTTACCATTATTTTTTTAAATTTTTAAAGTTAAATAACTCGGTTATTGTCAATTTATTTTAAAAATGGTAAAGAGAAAAATATGTTTCTTTTGACCAGATCTACCAACTCTTAAAATACTTGCACTTATTTCTGGGACACCCTGTATAGCTGTAGGTGTTTTAAATTACCTTTTCTGTGACTTGAAATGCTAGTTTCTAGTTGTTTTTTATATACAAAAGTTAACTTGATACACTTGTTACATAATATTTTGTTGTTCCAGTACCGATAGTGACGACGAAGATGCGTATGACGACGCGTTAGAACAACCAGTGACGAAGGAAGGAACTTTAAAATTAGCAGAAAGATGGAAAAAGATCTATAGCAAAGGGAAGCATTCTGATTTAGACGCGTACAGCAGCTCAGATGATAATAGCTATTATGAAAATAGCAGTGATGGTAAATAATTAATCTGTCACAATCTTTAATCGCTTTTTTCGGGTTTCCGTCAATTTTAGAAAAAATATAAATAAACTTTATTAGACTTAGCGTATGTGAAAATTTAAAAAACTGTACTTTTGAATTATGATTGTTGTTTGTTCCCAGTAATTAGTATTTAAAAAAAAAGTTTTGTGACGTTTCGCGACTTTATTATCGTTTCTTGAGGCACTATAGGAGAATCATGTTCTTTAATATCAAAGCAAAATCGAATAAACACTTACCTAAAACATTTAGTATTCCAAATGCCTACAAATTGATTCATGGCGACGCCGATTTTCCTTTTGAGCCTTCCCAAATACCCACGATTTTCTACAAATCAATTCTACTTTCAAATTTTTGGTAAAAAAATGGTAAAATTGAATTTGAAACTCCAACATTTTCAAAACCATCCTGTATCGTGGAAACTAAGAAGACCATGATAATTTTGTTAGAGTTTCACAAAAAAAATAGTTCATGGTTGTGAAAACCCCAGGGTTTATGTTTTTGTTAATTAAGAAGCAAGATAACTCTCATACACAACCAAAACGGAACATTCTATAAGTACATACATTTGGGTCACATGACGTCATCACCTCATCACATCTAGATCACACTGGTTTTATGTAGATCGTAAAATTAGCTAAACTTTTATTTGGACGTGGGGCCTTACACCAAGCCGTTCGATTAAGGTTCCTCCTCGTTTAAGTTCTGGGACCCCATTGTTTCCCGTTTGGTTCCATTCCACGATCTTCGTAGCCTACCCCTTTCCTTCTTCCTTGGGATATCCATTCAAAAGCTTTCTTTGGCCATCTATTTGGCGGCATTCTTAAGACATGACCAAACCATTTCAAGGTTCTCTTTTCTGCACGCTGGATAATTGTTTCTTCCGCCTTCATCACCAGCCGGACATGTTCATTTGTTCTTCGGTCCAGCCTAGATATTTCAGCACTTCTTTTCAGGTAGTCTATTTCGAATGTTGCCACCCTTCGTCGAGGGTTAGAGTTTAGCACCCAGCTAGATCCATCATCAGACTCAATCATTTTTTGGTTTCTATAGATAGATGTACATATACCATCAAAGGCTATTGAGACATCCCACTACTCTCTTGCTTTTTTGAATTCGAGGCTTTACTTCTTCTATACCTAGCCTCTATTAAAATGTTATTACTATTTTATTTTATATTTATAAGAAATAACCTATCTAAGAAAAGTATTGTTTTCAGATTCTGATTCGGACACTGCAACTGAAGGAGAAGAAGAAATCCGTGCTCGAGAACTCCGAAAACAAGAAGTGCGAGTGGAGCCTCCAGTGGTCCAAACCGACACCGGCACGGACACTGAGGTGAAGACAAATCTCGATTACTTACCCCCCGATATACTATCCGACCATCCCAGTAGTTTTGCATCCTTACATAAATCTCCCAGTAATTATTCTATCAGTTCTGAAGTATTTAAGAGCGCCGAGAGCGACGTAGACTATAATATGAACAAAACGTACGTCGATCCTAGCGTAGTAGTAGGCAAATTGACTATATCAAAGCCCCCGGTAGATAGCAGCACTAAGAAATCTAACCCTTTAGCCAGAAGCGCGACTGCCAGTAGCTTAACTAGCTCTAAACCGAAAAGAAACTTCGTATTACCTCCTAAAGAACAAAGGAAGAGTATAGGGGAGGTATTTCAAGAGAAGGTAAAGCTCGACGAGCCTTTGTTGGTGATCAGAAGAACTCCCAGTAAAGTTACTCTACCCAAGGAGATCAAACCGAAGGTAGCTGTCAACGCTAAGGGTCTGGATACGTCCAAATACTTTGGGTTGCCGAAAATTCCTCAAAAATCAAAGATAAAACGAGGTGATACTGCCGTGACTCGATCCAGACCTCCTTTGATAAAACAAGCCAGTCTTCCAGAAACCGCCAACGAGAAAAACGAAGCTACATTCAATTTCGACTTGAAAGAATCCGATTTGGACCACGTAGATGACTATATCGAAGATTTGCTATCCAAGAAAGACGAACTAGAAAAACCAGTTGATTATAGCAAATACGCGACTCAAAATCACGAAGATATTTCACCAGAAAACGAAAAAGAAGAACTGTCTAGTAGTATAGAGGATCTGTTCAAAGCCTTGGAGGAAGTCACTGACGTTCCTCACAGGGAAATGCAAAAAGAATCCGACGAGAAAATAGACGATCTTCTCAAATTTATGGAAGAACTAGATCACCAAACACCTGAAAGAAAAGTATACAGATCTGTCAGTGACGTTAAATACCGGAACTTAGAGCGCCTGTTGAAATCACCGCAAAGAAGCGAATCGGTGGTTAGTAAGCTTCCTAGAAACAATTTGAGTTTCTTTGAGACGATTCTGAAAGGGAAAGAAACGCCTAGAGATAGTAGCAGCGACGAAAATCTAGCGGAACCCAGGACTCGTGGACTTTGTAGATCCAAAACCGAGATTCATTTCAATCGTGGTAACAAAAAACAGAGGACTTCCGTCGATGTTGACGCCGTAGGAAAAGTAGATATCAAATCAGTGCTGAAAAAATTCGAGTCTTTCGAACAAGAGGACGAATTAAAAGCACCCAAACCTGAAAAAAAGATTATAAAAAGGATGTCTCTAGGCAATTTCAGAGATCTCGGAACTGAGGGCGCTAAAATATCAAAACTTCCTGCAATACTCAAGCCAAAACCTATAGGAAATACTATTCAGAAGTTTGAGAGTGAACCAAAGAAATTCAAAAAGGTTGAGTATAAAAAGCGAGAACCCAGAAGGGTGCTAACCACGAAATACGACGAAAAATCTTACGAAGATACTATTAAAGATTTGGAAAAATTCGTAGACGAAGCGATAGGAGATATTGGTGCAAGTAAAAAACTTCCAGAAGTCAAATCAAATGAATTGGGGAAGAGTAAAAGCGATTGGTGTGTGAATATTACCGTGTCCTCGAAAGTCAACCCGGAATTTTTGAAACTGCAAGAAAAAAGAGCTGAGAATCCTTTGACAGGCGTAAATAATGAACAGCAAACGAATTTATATGATAATGTTGGTTCTAACGTAAATTCCGATATTTTGAGACTACATGATGAAAAACTAGATGAAAATTCTTCAAAAGATCAAAATATCAAACAAAAAAATTCTATTTTAAAAGATAAATCAGATGAATTTAATCAAGACCTTGATTTTTCACAGGAAATGAAAGACTTTAACGAAGCCATGTCGGCCTTAACCGAAGAAAGCACTCTTGACAGTACTTCAGAGCCACATAACTTTTCTAAAGCCGTAGATTCGTCTGATAGTTCAGAAACAGAGAATATTGAGCCGGTTATTGGGAAAATTACTGATAATATACCGCAAGTAATTATTACTAACGGAGTTCCCGCAGATATCGATGATTTGTATGCTAAAGTAAACAAATGTAAACCGCCTTTGGAGCCTCCCCCGCCCGTACCGCATCGTCGCAAACACTCCCACGGAGAGCTTCCAGGTGCTCCGTTACCTCCACCCAGGGCAGCCAGGCAGAAGTCACTCGAAGCTAAAACCTCGAACAACGAGAACGTGCTTCCCGTAGCCCCGCACAGAAGACGATCCACTACCGCTTCGCCGCTGCTGCCTCGCAGGAAACACGAGGTAAACGAGCCAAAGCCTCTGGACACCAACGGGCGCAGCACCTCCACCGGTAACTTAGAGGTGAAGCGCGAAGTGGTGCGGTCCTTCGAGACCGCCAAGCCCCAGTTGGTGACCATCAGGTCGCAAAGTAGCGAGAACGTATCGAAATTCCCGCCGAAATTCGGCCGCAAAGACAAAGACAAAGACTGTTGCATTCAATAAGACTTCGTTTTGTTCTAGTCAAGCTTATTATGTGGACACGTCGTCGAAATATTCGACAAACAGCTCAATGCGGATTGAAACAATGTCGCTTTCGTTGTTAATTGTGATCGTTTTGCTTTAGTTCTTAAGGGTTTTTTATATATATTTTTTATTTATTCGCTGCCCTGGCGCAAAATTATTGTTGTAGCGTTTTATGATGTTTGGTTCCCCATTTCTCCCAGCCAACAGTCACGTGTTAAAGCAATGGTAGCAAGGTAACTATGAGAGTGGGGTGGTTCGTTTCTGTTTTAATGTGTTTAATCAGTGCTCTTAATCCATTGCTCACGTGAGTGTTGTTTTAACATCATTTTTTTTACTTCTTTCTCCTTCACTAAAACATAAAAAACAATATTATACAGCTGTTAAAGTAGCGTTTACGAGTCACGTCAACATCCTTAATGCCGTGGCCACACCAAATTATGTAAACCCGGCAGCCTGTGACACCGGCAAAAGTCGGCGAATCAGGTTGCTGAAATCATTAAAAAGTTGCGGCAATCAAAAGCCGGCGGCACGACTCGCGCAGCTAGTCGCCTTTTTTGGTTCAGTTGTATAGTGACATTTATAGAGTCAAGTGTTGACGATTTCCTTTAAGAAACAGATGAGGAAGGAACGATCCAAAACAGTATTGAATCTGAGTGGAATGTAGGAAAAAAGTCATATTATTGATTGAGCTTTACCATAGAGGACAATTTATGGAATCCTAAAAATGAATATTATAAAAATTAAAGCTTTGCAAAGGTAAAAGTTAGAAATTGAAGGTAAGGGAAGATATCATTATTCTTGTAGATGGCAGTACTGATGACAGAAAGTTGCTCAACGCTGCACACGGCAGTGTGGTCCATTAAACACAGGATTTCTACCCGCCGAGACGAGTTGGCGCGAGTTAGCCGCCGGTTAGTCGGCGAGTGCCTCCGGGTTTGCACAGTTTGGTGTGGTCTCGGCATAAGGCGCGGCATGTAAATGTTACAATAGTCAAAATATTTATAAAGCATGTTCAGCTGTGGTTATAGGTTTGTACAGTATATCAAAGAGGTTACATACACAACGTACATGTAAATAAATAAAACAACATCAATTTTATATTTGAAACAGCAATGTGACATATCGCTTTTTATTTGTACAGTTGAGTTTTTGGTGCTGTAATAACTAACTAACTTTAAGTTTGCGCTGCTTTGCAAACTGGTTTATAATATAAATAAGACCTAGATCATATATATGCTTTCGTGGATACTGTTACCTCATAAGTTTTGTATATAGGGTGATTCACGGCGATAGCACGTTTATGGAGAACCGGCGATAGAATTTTTTTGAAAATTTGGATTAAGTAAGTAAAGTAATAGAATAAAGGCACTGGCTCCATCTTTCTAAAATATTTTCAGCATTACAGTGTTGCCGCATCATTCGAAAAGTCAATCAACAAGAAACACAAGTTCATCCAAAAACATGATCGTGAATAAGGTAATTGGTAAAATCATGAATTAAACATGTTTAAAATTTAAATTTGGGTTATAAGTTAACGAAAGTCGATATATTCGATATGTCTAAATAAACCGATTGGATATTACATAGAGAGAGCAAAAATATTATTTATTTCAGTTTGTTATAAAATTACTCAAATCGTTGTTATTTTAAATTCAATCCTATGTATAATATTCAAAAAATCAAGACTAATAAAATTGCTTTTCAACGATATGTCCTGTTCCTATACCTAAACCTTCCGGTTTCTCAAGTAGAGCTATTTAAAAATTAATAATTTTATTATTATAGTTTCATTTCAAGAATTTCATTACCATGATAATTTTAGAAATTTAGCAGATAAACTCTAATTGGTACTTATAAAGTTTGAATATTTGTCATGGTAACAATTTTCTTTAAACGAAACAATTATAATAGAATTTTTATCTTTTAAAGGGTTTTACTGACGAAACCAGGAGGTTTAGGTATAGTTGATTTAGACCGATCGAATATATCGACTTTTCTTAACATATACCTAAACCAAATTTTAGCTTTGAATATGCCAAATTTATGATTTAACCAGTGCTTATTCAAGATCATGTTTTTGTCAATTTTACACAGGTTTTCGTTTTTTTTTTCGAAACTATCAGAGATTGGTCTAGGTTAGTATAATAGAAAAATTTCAAGATATGGAAGTAGTTTCGAAAAATATAATGATATACCAGGTGTTCTATTTAAAATAACAAAGATGCTACCGCTTTTAGTATGAAGCGGGAACACTGTAATGCTGAAAATAATTTAGACAGATGGAGCAGGTGCCTTATGCAAAAATCCAAATTTTCAAACAAATCCTATCACCGGTTCTCCATAAACGTCTAACGTGCCATGGCCGTAAATCACCCTGTATAACTATGTATGTTGTCTACATCTACAACACTGTTATATTGAAACATACATTGCATAAACAGAAAAGACTGGTTCAGGTTTAACAGCTTTCTCCACGAAAGTATATATTATTTAGGATTACAAGTAATTTTGTTGTTAACATCTGTGTCACTGAGCCTTATTTTTTACAGATGGTCTCGGACGAATCCAGTTCGGAATCCAGCGAGATCCAGAATTCGGCAACCGAAATCTCCACCGATTCGGAATTTGCGCAAGACGAGCCTACGCCGACGCGCGAGATACCCGCTATCGCTCTGAACGACGTTTTCGTTACCAAGACTCGAGGAAGCGGCCATGTATCAGACCTGCCGCGCCGCATCCAGGTGACCAGCAGTTTTCTGCAGCGCCCCCTCGATGCCGCCCCCCACCCGACACCCACACCTCTTAAACCGGCACCCTACGCCTTGAATCGCACCCAAAGCACCGGCGGAATCGCCGCTAAAGTCTCGCTCGAGCTAAAGAAACGCTATTTGCTGGGCGAGAGTGGGACGAACAGCATCCAGAAAAGCGGCAGCGCGTCGGCCTTGGATTCTAAATTCAAGAACTTTCAGAATACAATTTCGAATTGCCAGCGGATGCTGAAGCCGGCTGTGGAGCCTAGCGCTAGTATGCAGATGTTCTGTACCAAACTGGACGAGAGATTGTCACCTAGCGGTACTACACCTCCCCTTCCTCCGCCTGACATCACGATAACTACCATAACGGAACAGTCTCCAGGAGACGGAGAATCCGATAAGCAACGTGAAAGTTTCAATCGCGAAACTTATACTTGTCGGCCTGTAGTCGTGGAACCATTGCAATCTTCCGATAGTTTGTCGGCATCCAGTTCCGACGAAGCCCCAACTAGCCCCAATTTCCGTTTCGACTCTATTCCGCGGGTAGAGATTCACGCAGTTAAAGATAGTAATCGCGAGGATATAGCTTTAGACTCTCTTTCACAAGTACCTTCAGAACAACCCAAAAACGTCGCTGGAGAAAGGAAAGTCTTGAACCAACCGAAATCCCTTCCTAATCTTGAGCACGTTTTGCCTGACATTCATAGAGCCCTTCATGTCAGAGTAAGAAGCGACAAGGAAGACTCTCCGGATGAAAATAAAAGCGGTAAGACAACTTTAAGCGGGAAGAGCTCACCAGATGCCACTGCTGCTCTTACCGAAACTGAGCTGTCTGATTGGGCGAGAGACGAGAACGTATCAGATAGTATCGAGTTCGATTTCAGCCAAGATTTGGAAAAGAAGAGGGTTGTCAACATCGCTAAATTGAGTGAATTCGACGAAGCTATAAACGAACACGTTTGCGGTAAAGACTCAAAAGAAGCGGTTAACAAAACCATCCTGGCATCAGCTGTTAACGATTTGGACAGTATCGAATATATGGACACCGGTACTGAGACCAGCAGCGAGGATGGAATCGGTAACAGTCAGGATGGATACGTGTTGTTCAAAAATGAAGACGATGTAGCAGAGGATAGTCTAAACCCGCAAATAAACGAGATACTCGAGGCAAGAAACATTTATCTTAGAAATAAAGAGACTGATAAACGCGACTTATATTTAGCCGATAGTGTTAGAGATGAAAAACATTCTTATGAAAAAGTTGAAGTGAAAAGTACGGAATCCAAACCGGCAGATAACGAAGAAGATAGTTTAGTTGTCGTTGAAACAGGTACAACAACCGAAGAAAATACATGTAGTGATTCCACCGTCAAAAACGTCACAGAAATTGCTAACGATTCCAAAGAAAGTAGGAATAAGCCGTCTTTAAAAATTGAGAATCTCCAAAAACAGCGTCTAGAAGAAAAACTAGCCAAAGTTAAAGCCGAACAAGCATTGCTCAAAGAACAACAGTTAAAACAGTCCAGCCAGAAGGAGAATATTGAAAATAATATTCAGTATGAAGAACACTGTCAACGCTTGCAATCCAAAGTCGAATTTGGAAATGCTAAAGATTCGATAGATATCCGTAAATCTCGACGGAGAAGTAAGAGCGATTCCCCTCAAAAGCCCGATTTAATACGCGAGGAAAAAGAACGACACAGTCCTCCAAAGGACATCACCCTCAATTTGAGTCCAGTCGTACGGCCGGATATACTTTACAAAAAGGAGAATATCAAAAAAGAACGGGACGTAAACCAGAAGTTAGTTCAGGAAATGGTGATGAATAAAATGAAAGCTGAAAACAAGAGTCTGGAAAGAAAAAAGCGAAATAGAGCAAATGTGGGCAGCTTGAGTCCCTGTCGGCCGTATTCGGTACAAAAATCAAATACGACCGATATCGTTACGCAGATTAATTTAAGTAATCTAGACAAAAGCAACAAAAACGACTCGCTAGCATCAAGTACGTACGCCACACCGGACCTTCTGACCAATTCCATGACGCTACAGCACGCTCAGACAGTGAGTGCGGTCCCCGATATTAATAGTTCTACAGAGAAGTACGAAACGCCTATGACGTCAACGCCTGCGAAGCAACACTTATCCAGACCTTTGAGTGTATTTTCAGATACCCATAGGAAACCTCCAGAAACACCTCTGACAACTTTAGATAATTATAGTATGCCGGACATCAGAAAACAACTGTTTTCGGAGGATTTCAAGACACCTAAAGCTCCTCCTAGATACAATAGGCCATCTATTATTCGGACAGCAGAAAAATTGAAGGAGGACGCTAGAGCTAGAGCAAGGTTGCTTTCTAACGAAGATTTAGGTTTAAGTCCCGATGATAAACTGATAAAACTAAGAGAAAAGATTGGAAAAAAGTCGAAAGAAAATAATTTAATAACCGACACGCACGTTCAGGAAAGCATAGAATCGTTGGTGATGAATACAGAGAGAAGAAACTCCTTGCTCTATTCTAACGATACTCTAACCAAAAAACGAAACAATTCTTTTAGAAGATCGATGAGTGGAGATTCAGAAGTCGGCTCGAAGGGTCTGAGCGTTTCGGATATGCGTCCCAAGTCTATTTCGGAAATTCCGAAGAACCTCAGCGTGTCTAAATCCAGGAACATCGAATCTGACTCGAAGAAAGCTTGCAAATCGGATCCGAACCTGCTGGACACGCAAGGTCCGAAGAAGAAGAGCAAAGACAGGGAAAGGCGAAAAAGTATCACCAAGCTGATCGTCGGAATTTTTGCTAAGAAGAGTCCTACGAGTAACGGGACCAAGAGTCTATTTGCCAAGTTGTCTCCAAAGTCAAAGGCCATATCAAAGGTACGTTGTTAAGCTTGATTTAGAACCTCAACATTAGTGGAATAAATCAATGGTTTCAATTAGCGTAGAAGTTTGTTCCTCTAATATCAGTGTGCGTTCACAACGTTAAAATTAGTGGGAGTAATCTTCAATTAGTGGAAAAAGTTAGCAAACTTTTAACTTTTCCGCTAATTATACTTCAAAAGTTGCGAGGAATGTCATTTTGGCCTTTGATTATCATCCCTCAAGAGAAATTGTGGATAGAAATCAAAAGTTTGTTGTTTTATAAAGTTTTATAAGCTAAATAGTACACTTTCTCTATGGATACAACTGACCGCTACAAGCTGTTGCTAGGATATTCTATTAATTTTAATTGTTTTTTAGACATTGTGAATGATCGTAAACTAAAATGTATGAAATGTAATTGAAACCATTAATTTATTCTACTAATTGTGGGATTCTAAACGAAGCTTTAGTAAATTTAAGAAGTTAATATTGCCACCGCTTCTCTTAACATTCAATTTATTTTTCAGTCTTTATCTAGTTTGGACTGGAGCAAACACGTAAGCAAACAATTTTTGTCCGTCTGTTTGCTGTTTCGTCCCCGTTAATTATGTTTTTGTTTTGTTTAATTTTTAGCACTATTTTGCACTAGCATTTTTGCATTTGTATTTTGTCGGTTGAGTTTGTACTAATTAAAATCGTGTTGTGATATTTGGGTTTAAGACTATACTCTGTAAAAGTAATAATTTCTGTAGCAGGTGCCAAAGTTGAGGTTACGTTATTAGATCTTTACAATGACTAAAGAATACAAGGGCACGTAACGCCTATGTACGGGCTGTAACAGAATTTGTGATGTTAGACGCCATTTTTTTGGATGTAAAGAATGAGTCATCGACTGGTCATCAGCGATAATTTTAGCGATTAGTTTCTGCGTAGTGAACTTTGTATAAACTTTATTACAAGGGTGATTAGTTGTTCAGCTTTAAAGTGTAAAAGCCGCAGCAATAAGAACGAGCCAGGAATTACGTTTCATAGGCAAATAAACAGTCCACTACACCTTCTTAGCGTTTTCTTATTCAATTCTATAATTATTTTTCTGTTTTGTACCTTTTGTTAACATTTTAATATGTTTTTTTCGTAATTAATTAGTACGATACCACCGTATACACCATAGACGTAGTCAAAACATTTATAAAAAATATAAATATCTCTTCAAGCAGCTAAGTTAAGAAAAATATGTGCCACTGCACTGTTTGAAGGTATGGTAACAATTTGGTCTCGAGTGTTATTAGTCCTTGTATTCTTTAGTCATTGGATCTTTATTTGTAATATTGCAATACTTGTTGGGAAGTATCTTTTCAAAATTTTTAGTAAATGATACGAGATTTAAAATGTGTCAAATCCTATGATTAAAAAAATTATGTCAAGTTATCCTATAAATTGCGTTCAGTAACATTTTATACCGTATGATCGAAAAGTTACAGTTAAGTTGGCAATATCAAGTCCAGTTGGCTTGAACAACGATCGATAAAATTCTTTATATAATTTTACATATAAAATGGTAGGTAGCAATCTTCATTTTCAGACCAACTGTAACTCTCGCTCTTTTGGATCATATAATAAATTATACGTTTCTTGAATGTCATCATATGTAAAGTAACTTGACGCCATTTTTTCGATCATATGGTATATTAAACATTTATGAAAGCCTTCAATTTGGAGCTTGCTATAATTTTGCAGTTATACAGGGTATAAATGAATAACGCGTAAAACGTGTATGTGATAAAAAATGTGTGTATGTAGAAAGAATTCTTATATGGGTGTATACCATATACAGGGTATTCAAACAGATACTTCACTACTTGCAATATTTTACAACACACAATTTGAGAATTTTTAGGCCCCTTAGACACGCACATTAAATTCAGTGACAATGCAGTAAGCCTCTATTACCATTTAAATGGAATTTTCTATTGAAGACGTTTGTGCAGTTTGTGCATCCAGATAACTTTGTATATACTTGTAAAATAAAAAGAAAATATAGGAATAATATTATTTTTAAAACAACAGTCAGCTTCTAAATTTTTGGACACTTATTCATTTCCACTCTGTATCATTCGCATCAATTATAATTCGCAAAATTAAAGTGAAATTAATAAATAGTGCACTTGTTGTTTTGTCTTGATTATTGTAAAATATTGACTAATAATGTAGAGGTTGTCCTTAATTTATTGACATTTTCAATAGATTTTCTAACAGAAATATTTGTTTAGGAAACCGCAATCGAGGAATCGTTAAAAAGGAAATGTCTCTCAGAAAACAATATCGAAAGGCGCGAACTTACTCCTCCACCTATTCCACCGTTGCCAGAACACTATATCATGAAAGCCACAGGTAGGATTGATTTATAAGAAAATAATAATAAAAAGAAACTAATCAAATTTTGTTTCAGACGAGAGTAGTGACGGTGAAAATATCGATTGGACATTTGCTGGACAAGGATCTTACGACACTCTTGATAAATCAATCAATCTAGAAACGTCTATGGCCAGTCTGACTAGCAGAAAAAGCTTGAAAGCTAAGAAGGCATCCAGGCAGGCTCAATTGAAAAGGTAAATGGAATTAAAAAAGGTGCTATTTCTGTTTACTAACTGTTAATAAAAATTAGGCATAGAATGGCTCAAGAAATCCAAAGAAAACTGGAAGAAACCGAAGTGAAAACGAGAGAGTTAGAACAGCGTGGCGTTAGAGTAGAGAAAGCACTCAGAGGAGAATGTACAGAGAGCACCAGCAAAAACGAAAGTGACCTTTTACAGGTTAGTTTTAAATTTTGCAAGTTGAATTTTTGGTAAGAAAATAAAAAGATTGTGTGAGCACTATGTGCGCACATTTGAAGTGAAACTTCTTACTAACAGCTATTAAATTGAACAATTTGAAGGGCATGTTGCAAAAGTGTACTTTGAAATGTTGAAAAAGTAATAAATATTTTGATTCACTTTCACAAAATTTGTATTAAAATGACAGACTGTCCGTCTGAAGACTCTATTCGGGTATCTCTATCCACTTGCCGAGTTTGGTTCCAATCGACCCATAATTAAGAAAAACCCTGATGATTTCATCCATTTACCACGTCATCCTATAGTCCGTCCCCAATTATGCCGAAAACGATCCACATTTGTTTTCAATATCAAATCCTTAGTCCCACTCTGATGAAGAGGTAAACGAAACGTCGTATCCAACTTTGCAGGGTAGGACTGTGTGCACCGTCGCTTACATAGCCTACCCACCAAATTTGGTCGCGATCGGACATTATCAACTTTTGACGTTTCTTACGTCAAAACTAACTGTCACAGTGACACGTATCGTACACGGTCAAGTTGGCCTTGGTCCATTCTATAACCAAACCAAATTTCATTTAAATCGGACGATTTTTCGTCATTGATGACGAGTTTCATAGTGCACGATACGTCGTCAAAATATCATCTACTTTCAGAGTTTCAGCCCCCTAGCTTACATAGAGCCCGAGTTACGACGCTCCAAAGACTCATCTCCACTTCCTCATTGGCTTACCACTTTTTCGATCGTTATCACTCGCGTGTCATCTCGCTAGCTCGGCCTTGAATTTTTACTCCCAGCGCGAGTAAAGAAGTTTCGCTTCAAAAATCGGGAAAACACAGATTTTCACAAATATCTTAGGAAGTAAAGTTGTAGGGTTGAGTAAGTCACAACTTTTTCCTAAATTAATCATCTTTGTACTTACCTCTTTTGATTTAAAGATCCCTGTGGTGTGCATTTTTATATTGGACATCTTATATATGCGTATGTAAAGGCGCATTCTCACGACTCGTGTACTTGACAAACATTTGTAATTGGTATTTAGAGTATACACGGTGCGTCGGGCATCTATACCTAGAATTTCTAGGTTATTTATTATAGGAACTACGCCGCACTCCAGCCAGACTTTGTAAGGCAATAAAAAAATACTTGCCAAGTACACGAGTCGTGAGAACGCGCCATAATATGCAAGCTCTCGAAAGCCATAAATAACCAACTGAATTAGAATAAGCTTTGACTTAATATATACAGATTGGGTCACCCTAGACCCGTGGTCTGGATTTTAATGTGTACGATAGTTTAATGAAAAATCAAATGCGTTAAGAAAGCGGCAAACGTTGGGTCGGATATATTTCTTTCTATGGGGTGTTGCTGAATATTGCATCAAAATTTGAAACTGCCCAAGTAGGCGTTTACGAAAAATGCCAACTTGTCTCTCAACTGATCATATATTTATCTCTGTCATATGCACAAAAATACAGACCACGGAAATAAAGTGACCAATATAATATACAGAAATATACTGTTACAAAAGTACCATTACGATTTTATAAACGTGATAGTGATTCAGTCGGAAGTATATTGCACACAATATTATTTTTCAAGGAATGGTTCGATTTGATGCGGGACAAAACTGAACTAAGACGTTACGAAAAGGAACTGATCGTGAGGGCCCAAGAATTGGAACTTGAGGATCGGCACGCTAGACTCCAAGCTGAGTTAAGAGAACGACTGGGCAATAGTAAGTTATCTGTGTCTATTAGCATTATTTTTTGATAATAGTAAACGTATATCAAAGTTCTTAATTTACCTAGAACGCACATCTGTATATACAGGGTGCTTCAAAAAACATGTGACAATAAGATTTATTTTTCATATCAATATAGGTCCCATTCTGCTTTTTTTAGTAGTTACAGGGGTCAAATTAATTTATTTTTAGAAAAATATTCCAGTGATAACCCATATGCACGTCTCTGGTGAACATGTCGACACTTTTTAGCATTAACATATGTTGCACTTATAGTATCTTTTGCCCTCAGATTTTCATTTGAATCGCTAGAAGCACATGGAAGAAAATTATAATAAATAGAAAAAAAATGAAGACTAATTCCCTCTAGTTACGAAACGGACCTATGTTGATATGAAAAACAAATCTTTTTTTACGAGAGGAATCTCCCTACGAGAGATGGCACATGTTTTTTGAAACACCCTGTATTACGCAAGAACACATAATGCATGAATATATAATAGCATATTGTTTAAATTCGGAGTAAAAATTACACTTTTTGTGGCGAGGTTGTATGTTTGACAGACGAGCGTGAGCAAGTCCGACATACAGCCTAGGCACAAAAAGTCATTTTTACTCCGAATAGAACATGCTATTTTTTTTTCAAACGCCACAAATAATTTTTTAAACAATTTCAAACGTTCCAAATACGAGTGATATAAAAATATTTAAGTCATACTTTGTATGTAATTATACAGGGTGGCGCACCTCATTCGCCTCGGTTGATTATACGAAAACGGAAAGATATAGAAACAAAATATTTTATGGGTATATGTGGGGAGTCAATGTGCACAATTTAAAATTATTTTGAAATATACAGGATGTCTCAGAACTAAGATCCATACCAAAGTTATATTTTTTCTTATGGAACACCCGGTATTTTATTTCATTTTTGGATTCTTGGGCCCAAAAAAAGACATTTATTTTAAGGGTTAAATATGTTTAAAATCATTGGTTTTTGAGATATTTAAAGATATTTAAATATGTATGTTACAAGAGAATTGATTTCAACACCCTGTACCTTAGACAAGGAAAGAGAGGGGACAGGTAACACGGCAGCTGAAAGTGAGGCAAGTTGTCACCACGCGAAATTCTCCAATGGCGTAGCATCAGAAATTAGCTTGTACCTAGACGGTACAAAATATTTATTAAAACGTAAACTAATATATCGTTCATTTTTGAGTAATGCATATACAATTTTGTATGTTATAGTCTCGCCTTTATAATATCAGAATATCTAAGTCGATAATGCAAAATTTATTTAACAGTCACAGACTGGACTGATTATCAAGACAATTATTTATTTATTAACGTGTGTATAATGTATAATTAAATAAAAAATAATGTAATAACATATGTTTTAAACGTGTATATACTGTATGATCGAAAAAAACGGCGTCTTGTTTGTTTGGAAATGACAATTTCACAAATGAATACTAAAAATTACATTATTCATTGAATCCGTAAGCAAGTGTGAAGGGAATTGACTAGATTCATTATTATACCGTATAATCGAAAAAAAAACGACGTCCAGTTGGCTTGTAAATTACGATCGATGATATTCCCCATATAATTCTACATATAAAATGACATAAAGACTATACAAAACGACATTGAAAAAAGACGGCGTCAGCGATAGCTATGAAATGAAGATCGCTGTCATTTTATATGTAAAATTATATGGGGAATGTCGTCGATCGTCATTTACAAGCCAACTGGACGTCGTTTTTTTTCGACTATACGGTATAATAATGAATCTAGTCATTCCCCTTCACACTTGCGTACGGATTCAATGAATAATGTAATTTTTAATATTTGTTACCTTCAATCATAAGAATATCCTAATTTTCCACCAAAAAAATAAACAATTCTAGAAGCTTTGTGTTATTTTATTTATTTTTAAATTTTTATTAATTACTGAAACTATTATTATACATCTAAATTAGTAAATTTTTTGAAAGAATTTTTAAAAAAATATATGTAGTAACAAGTAGCCCACCACAAGTTTGTCCACCCCCAGCAAATCTTGGCAGGTAAATTTAAGTTTTATATAACAACTATACATATAGATTTTTTATCACTAGAATTTTTATTTTTTTTTATAGTTTACAATTATTTTACATATTTGATAACAATACTTTATACATTTTTTTACATGTAAAATATATAAAAAAATGTTTATTGCAGAAATTGTATTTCTCTGATTATAATTCCCTACGCCACTGGAGAAATCTATGCTGAGTAGCATTATTTATCGTTTCAAACATTAATTATAATAAAGGATATTGAAAATACTACTTGGAATTATTAAAAATAGTTTGGTTTGGATGTGGTACAAAACATATTAAAAACATTTTACATATTTTTACTGCTATAATGAAAAAATGTACATTTTATGACCACATAACAAAAGTTGTGTATCGAATTTTACCTGTCAAATGTAATTCCAGCCACTTTTTTCTCGCTTCGGCCTTTGCAGCCATACGCTGAACATCTCACCATACTAAACAATACAGTTTATAAATTTAAAACAAAACATTTGTCACAAAAAACATAACAATTCGCTCGGTGTCACCTCGAAATCTTGTCACCAAAGTATGGCCGCCGATCGAATTTTGGCCTCACAAACCGATCACGGGAGAATATGCGTGTTAGCCGTCCCCTTTCTTTCCTTGTCTAAGCCCTGTACATTATTTTTCAGAATTAATTCTTGTGCTGAGTTTAAAGGCAAAGATCTGCTTCGATCTATTTAAAAAAATACATGGTGTTGCATTTGAAATAACAAAGTTTTTATGTAAAATAAATCCTTAAAATAGATAACTAATTTTTGGTACCCCTGTATAAATTTGAGGAAGCAATAATATTTTTCAGTAAAGTTTATTTCTTTGCCTTTAAACTCAGCACAAGAATTAATTCTGAAAAGTAATGTACAGGGTATTGATAATCAATTCTCTTGTAGCATGCATATTTAAATATCTTTAAATATCTCAAAAACCAATGATTTTAAACATATTTAACCCTTATAATAAATGTCTTTTTTTGGGCCCAAGAATCCAAAAATGAAATAAAATATATTTTAAATTAATTTTAAATTAAAAAATTATATTTTTTCTTACGGAACACCCGGTTTCCATAAGAAAAAATATAATTTTGGTATGGATCCTAGTTCTGAGACACCCTGTATATTTCAAAATAATTTTAAATTGTGCACATTGACTCCCCACATATACCCATAAAATATTTTGTTTCTACATCTTTCCGTTTTCGTATAATCAACCGAGGCGAATGAGGTGCGCCACCCTGTATATCGAGAAACTATGAATTTGACTATTTATGTCAGTTTTTATGCCTAGGCGTTAAAATGACTCTTTTATATTGTCAATTACGTCGTTGAATACTTTTTAGTAAAAGACGTTTAAAAAAATAATATACTATTTCCTTTGTCTTTTTATTCAAAGAATAATATTTATTTAAAAGCAATAGAGTATATCTAAAAAAAATTTTTATAAATCAAAATATTTTTTTAGATGAACATAAGACAGACGAAGATGTTAAGACGGAAAAAAGTATAATTAATGAAATGATGGATATAGTGGCTCAAAGAGATTCGCTCATAGCCGTATTAGAGGAAGATAGATTAAGGTAAATACCGTACAAACGAAAAAAAAAACGGCGTCAGAGTTAGCTTAGAAAAATATATTTATGGTAAAATTCCAAGCCTATTGTAAAATAATGTATCTGATGAAATAATATTAAGTCTATTCTTTTCTAGGTATACTAATGAAGATAAAGGAATGGAAGAACAAATGCTTGCAAAGGGATTGATGATGACTCCTATCCAAAAGTCCATAGAGAAATAATTTTATCTATAGAGAAAAAATACCAGTACGGATATTTTATATTTATTGAATATATTTTTGAATTAACTTGTTAAATTATAGCCAGGGTAATGTAAAAAACTTGCAACTTTTCTAGTATTAAGACATAAAACTTTTTACTTTTATTAATTTTAGGCGGTTAAACGCACTATGATTTTATTTATTTTGCAATTAATTATTAAGCAGACTGTTTTTATTTTTTAACTTAACAAATAGCATGAACAAAATATATACCGCGTTCACAGTATATTTACAGAGAATGATATTTATTAGAATATTTTTACTTAAATGACGATTTTGAATTCACGTGTACATTTTTACGTGCCTATCGTTAACGTCCATAATATATTTGTATTTTACTATATGGATTACGAAAGCAAATATTAAAACTAGTCTTTATTAAATTTAGTTTTTAAAGGGTATGTATATATACACACACTCTTCAAATGTTATGTCGTTATATAACGGTTACTAACCTTTTTTTAACCGTTAGTTAACGGAAGGTGATAAAATACCAGCCTTATGGCGTTGATTGTGATCGTGTTTGTATTTTTTCAAAATAAGGAATTGTATAGAATTGTACAAAAGAATTAATTATTTTGTGAATGCAATAATGTATTCTTTTTTTTTGATCGTGTGAATTAAAAGCTTTTTTTACCAGATGTATTAGTGTTTTTTTTGTCAAGAGAATGAATTTATTAAAATAAAATATGGCAAAACAAATTTTATGTAAGATGATTGTATCAATACCATGCGTTTAGAATTTATTGTTATATTAAATAGAGAGTATGTCAAAAAGTTTACGAAAAAAGTTATTGCAAAATTTCATGAGCATATCCAATAACAATGAAATATTTTGACATGTTACGAGACATGTCATATTGGCAAACACAAAAATTCTTTTTACATACAAAAAGTAGGATTAGTAGAAAAGTATTGAAGAGTCAAAGAAAAGTTATTCAGGATTTTTCGTTGACAGGTAGTTTCGAAAATGTTTCTTTTTAATTTTTGTAAAACAAAAAAATTTAATTTTTGGTTTTACATAAATCAAAATAAGCCCTCTAACCCCACTTTTACCTATTCCGGGTGTCTCAAAAGTGGCCCACCCCTATAACTTTTTTATTTTTTTAGATATAAAATCGATGTTAGTATATGACATAAATTAGGATTGATTGACATATTCAGTTGTTTTCGATCACTTCCTGTTTACCCGGAAATGACTATAACTGTTGATTTTTAAATTGCACCCTTGGTATTTTACTTTATTCGATAGAAAATGACACTGTGAATAGAATGACATATCATATGTCAACTTTTGACATTTTCGAATATGGTTTATTTGAAGTTGTAACATATGCGGTTTATAACGACAATTTGACTCGAAAGTGTATAGTACCAAATTATTTGTAAAAAATTCCTTTTCCAAATATGCTAATGAGCCACTCTCGTTCCATTATAAAAAAATCAGATATGATTAAAAATACGATTTGGGCATCTTTTAACTGGCCAGGAATTGACTCTAAAAACATTAGGCGAATTTTCTAAAAAATGTCATTTTCTATTGAATAAAGTAAAAAAATACCGAGGGTGCCATTTAAAAATCAAAAGTTGTAGTCATTTCCGGTGAAACAGGAAGTGGCCGAAAAGAATTGAATGCGTCAATCAATCCTAATTTATGTCATATACTAACATACAAAATCTCGTTTTTTTATCTGAAAAAATTAAAAAAAATTAGGGGTTGGCCACTTTTGAGACGCACCCGGTATAAAGAAGAATTTAGTAATTTGCCACCATCAGTCTAGGCGCATATTGAGCTGCGTGACACAGTACGCACAGGGCAGGGCAGGGCAGGACAGCAAGAAAAATGTCTGTGCAGCACAGTGCTCCACGCACATTGAGATGCAGTTTTGTGTGTCAGCTGCGTTTGCAAGGAGTTTTGGTGCGTTTTGGGGGAGTAATTAAATAAAAACCTGCTGGAAGAATTTATCTGGATTTAAGCTCCGAGTCAGATTCGGATACCGAGTTACAAACATTATTATTACTTTATCAGAAGTCAAGGAAAGTGAAATTAGAGAATAGCGAATATATGAAAAAGACGAACTCACGGGGAATTTGCATTGACAAGAGAATTGTCAAATGAACGATTTTTTCTTCTATCGATTCCATTATTTTCGAAAAACCGGCAAGTTTAAAACTCAAAACAAACACGAGGCGGTACTTTGTCACGCATTTTCTGTGTCAAATGCACAAGTGCGACACAGCCCGCGTGCGAGACAGAACTGCCCTGCCCTGCGCTGTGCTTCAATACGCGGTGTTACATTACAATTCATGATTTACATAACCTACGCTGCGCTGCCCTGCCTCGCGCTGCCTGCGTCTCAATATGCGGTGGGCCTCATTATTGCATGATTTATGTCAAAATACAATCATGACTTGTGTACAAAAACAAAACTTGCAGTGTACCGAGCAATTATAATCCCCATCATGTTATATGGGATTGAAACCTGGGTGCCGTATCGCCGTCACATGAACGCTTTAAACAAGTTGCAACAGAGACACCTTAGACAACTCTAAGAATCCGGTGGTTCCATCATGTCTCAAACGTATCGGTCCTTGAAACAGCTAACTGCGAGAGTATTGAAGTCAGGTTACAAAATCCCGCTTAAGATGGGCTGGTCACGTATGCAGAATGCAAGAAAACCGCATACCAAAATCTCTGCTTTACAGTGAACTTGTAGACGGTAAGAGGAGGCCGGGTGGACAATTGAAAAGGTACAAGGACATTTTCCACGAAAACTTAAAGGGGATTAACATGCAGAATGAGTGGGAAGAAGCAGCTCACAATAGAATTCAATGGAGAAGAGTTGTCCACTCAGTTAACAGCGACAACCAAAAAGTAAAAAGGCAACAAAGCAATGAGATTTTTGAATGTCCGGAGTGCGGTAGGCAGATAACATCACGTATTGCGCTTTTCAGTCACAGAAAAGCTCATGAAAGAAAACGCCTTGCGTGACCATCTTCTGATGTGTGTGGAATACTCGTCAGCGAGTAATGGCTGTATGTATGTATGTATGTTATGTCAAAATGATCGTTTTGTAGTCAGTATATTGTTGAGCGTGTCATTTGTTGTTACACCCTGCATATAATTAATTATTGTAGTTACCAACATAGAAAAACGATAATATAAGCAAAAGAAACCACATTTTGCTATTAATTATAACATTTAATAGATTGAAACAAATACAATTGTAAATATTATCAGAAGGTGATACACGTCAAGAAATAAAAAAAATACACAGAAATTTCTCCACTCGATCGAATAATAATTACACAATCTGTAAAATATATTTTTTAATAAATTTCTACTAAATTAGAAGATCATATAAATGATGAAATTTTATAAAAGACTCACCAAAAAACTGACCTATTTAATATATGTATCTACAATAATGTACAGAGACGAAAACAATAATATATAAAAAAAATGCGGTTTTCTTCTTTTAGATATGAATAAACTAAAACTTTGAAGGGTCAGGTCCAAAGTGAATTGTAACTTAACATTGAATTTCAAACAAATCCAACCATCTAGTACGAAATTAACACACACAACACGTCAATTAAACTATTGATATAAAATAAAATTAGCATTATAAACGCCTTTGTCCGTCCCTGTATCTCCAAGTGGCCATCAAATTTTCTAAAAATTCTAGCCAAAGTTATATTTTATACCCAAATAAAAAAAAATTTAAATATTTCTCAAAATTTACTCCTAAAGATATATTCTCGAATTTGTTTACTGGGTGCGTCTCAAAAGTGGCTCACCCCCTATAACTTTTTTATTTTTTCAGATAAAAAAACGGGATTTGGTATGTTAGTATATGACATGAATTAGGATTGATTGACGGTATTAAATTGTTTTCGGCCACTTCCCGTTTCACCGGAAATGACTACAACTTTTGATTTTTAAATGACACCCTCGGTATTTTTTTTAATTTATTCGATAGAAAATGACACTCTGAATAGAATGACGTATCACATGTCAATCAATCCGAATTTATGTCATATACTAACATAGCAAATCTCGTTTTTTTATCTGAAAAAATAAACAAGTTATAGGGGGTGAGCCACTTTTGAGGCGCACCCGGTATTTGTATATAAAAAACAGATTTTTTTTACCGACTTCACGACAAATATTTCCCTTGTTGTCTGGTATAAATGTTTAAATTTCGATATTAATATAAAATATAAGTCCATAAAAAATTGAATTTCAATTCATAATAAAAAAACATTTAAACATTCAAATTGCACTTTCTCAGCAAATGACTTCTAAATTATATAAATTCGTCATCAGATTCATATGTATATTCGCATTATTCACCATGCGGTACACAAACAACAAAAAAAAAGGATAAACTAAAGAAAATATATATGACTCACAAACTATATTAAACTATATTTATTCCTACCTAATGCAGTTTTAAATCTATTTTAACAGTCAATTGGAAAAAAGCCTTATCTACAGGTTGCCACGATACCTAACTTTATGAAAATATAAAAAATATTTTTCTTTTTTACTTTTTTTACCGAAAAACTTAAAGTTTTGTAGCCTGACAAACCTCCAAAAATTACCATCGTTATAGTAAGTATACTTAGTATACCTCAAAAATAATTTGTTCCAAACGAACCGCTGCGATTTTCAGTAATTTCGTTTTGTACCTCGTCTAAAATGTTGAACGATATAATATATTCATTCTTTATTTGCTATTCAATTTTGGAGAAGTTCTTCTGGCATTCCGGGCTTGTCCAAAATTCGACTAGTTGTGATTTCATCGATTGGATAGCCGTCTCGGTAGATTCCATAATACTGAGACGAAGTTGCCTCTTCGTCGCTTCCAAACTCTAAAAACAAATTGTTTTTAAAGAATATATACAGGAGCCATATGGCAAAAAGATTTGGTTACTTCAATCTCTGCTTCAATATTCGCTTTATGCAACCTTCTTTGATGGCCACTTTTTTATACACGAAGATAATTCTCCTTACCTCTACACGCCATACACTATATGAACTATAACACACTAAATTATTATCTTACCTGTTTTGATCCCTTTGCCACTGAAGCAGTAACCAATCGTACAGTATCTTTGTACTTTTCCGGCCAACATAGCCTCGTTATTAAACCCTTTCGGTGGGCTTCGTCAGCTGTCAACGTTTGAGAAATGTAAAACAACTCGCTGGCCTATATAAAAGGATTTTACATTAAAGATAACCCTTAATAAATCCATTTAGTATTTACCAATCCGTGGCTGGGTACATACGGCACCGTTAATAAAAATCCAGCTTCTGCGATCGCTCCCAGCGAGGCAAAGGGAGTGGTGAAACAGGCAGTATCGCTGGCTATAACGATATCAAACAGAGGCAACATCGTGACTGCCAAACCGCAGCATTCGCCTTCTATACCGGCGATCAAAACTTTCGGAAAACGTAACAGGCATTTGATGAAATTACTGCAAAATATAAAGCATTCTCTTCATCGACAATTTTTGTCATATATTGAGGTATTCTCTTTGAATAACATAACTAAGAATGATTCTATTCTGTTTACTACGACTACAATGATGCGGAAAAAAATGATAAACACGTGAGAAAGATGAAGGTATTTTATCGCTGTTACTTTATATGATCTAATAGTCTAAGAGCTGGCTACATAAAAGACCTTATCATCGTTTCATGGCTAATTTTTCTTCTGAAGTCTCCTTATGTGTAGCCATTACGAAATAGTCATGTCTGCCAGCGCGATCCCGGGGCTTAAAGCGGGGACAGCCAATCGAAAGGGTGAAATTTTGACTCTAAAAATACTATAAGCACAGAATATCTAGCTACGCAACAGAAGCCTCGTTACATGTATAAAATTGTAGGTAGCAAAAGGAGACAGGCTTTAAAAGCCTGTCTCAAAATCAGATATTTTGATGTGGTAGTTTCGCTACTACATAATAGAGGGCAATAAATTTAAAAGAAAACAGTTTTCTACAAGCAAAATTTAAAAGAATTTTGTGCAATGTTGTCATTGTGTAATTCATATCGTAATACTTCCTGATAAAGCCTACCTTCAAATTTGCTACATCATTTAAACATATTAAAATAGATCAGAGCTGTTTTTTTCAGTTTGCCATGTTAGTTGGAATTAAATCTTATGAGCTAAATTACAATCACTTCCTGACTTTGATTGTATAATTGAATCCTGAATTTTCATTGTAATTCGGCGACAATATAATAAGTATTGTTCTACTATTATGATACCACTTCCTGACGTTCGATTGTGTTCATACCAAGTTCATATCGTATAATCGGAAAAAACGGCGTTAGCGATAGCTATGAAATGAATATCGCTGTCATTTTATATGTAAATTTATATGGGAAATGTCATCGATCGTCCTTTTCCAGCCAACTGGACGCCGTTTTTTTCAGAAGCATATCAAGTGATACCATGATATAGTACTATATTACGATACATGGCGTTCGATTGGGCTTAAACTTGGTATACTATATCTTCAGTGACATTGTAATATGGTACCATGAAGCATATAAAGTGGTACCTTCTATAGTACCATATTTGATGACATAGCAATATTAGGTACATGGCGGCAATAGGGCTTAAACTTGGTATACTACGTATTCTCGGTGACATTGTAATATGATGGTACTATGATGCATATATTCTGGTACTATAATATAGTACCATATTATGTACATGGCGTTCGATTGGGCTTAAATTTGGGATACTACGTATCTTCGGTGATATTGTAATATTATGGTACCATGGAGCATAATAAGAGGTACCATAATATATTACCATATTACGATACCATTTCCTGGCGTTCGATTGGGCTTAAACTTGTTATACTACGTATCTTCGGTTACATTGTAACATGATGGTACTATGATGCATATAAAGTGGTACCTTAATATAGTCCCATATTTCAATATCATTTCCTGGCGTTCGATTGAGCTCATATTTGATATATACTTGCGTATTTTTGATGACATTGCATTATTATGGTACCATGAAGCATATCAACTGGTACCATAATATAGTACTATATTACGTACATGCCGTTCGATTGGGCTTAAACTTGGGATGCTACGTATTTTCGGTGACATTGTAATATGATGGTACTATGATGCATATAAAGTGGTACCTTAATATAGTACCATATTACGATACCATTTCCTGGCGTTCGATTGGGCTCAAACTTGGTATACTACGTATCTTCGGTTACATTGTAATATGATTGAACTATGATGTATATAAAGTGGTACCTTAATATAGTACCATAATACGATACCATTTCATGGCGTTCGATTGTTCTTTAATTTGGTATACTACGGATCTTCGGTGACATTGCAATATTATGGTACCTTAAAGCATATCGAGTGGTACCATAATATAGTACACTATTATGATATCATTTCCTGGAGTTCGATTCAGCCCAAATTTGGTATACTTGCGTTTCTTTATAAAGATTTGTTTAATTAATAATTTTAATTTATTTTACGAATTTTAATTTATTGTTCGATGTCGTGACAGCAACTTTTATGCCGAACTAATATATTATTAATTGTACCTGTGTCACTTTTTAAAATCTACCTAGGTCTATATAATAACGTAGCAAACGGAAGAAATTTGTTATTATAGTATTTTTTAGTCAGTTAACATTTTTTGTACTGCATTTTAATAAATTATTTCCATTATTATTAAACTTATATTTCATTACTAACGTTCCAGCATTAATAAATATCACTATCAATCGCCCTGTATATTATTAATTTTAAAGGTAATTAAAGGTATTTTCTTAGTTAACATTATAAGGTAGTGTATATTAAAAATGTATATGTTTTGTAATAATATACTTTAAACTATTTTAATAGCCAAAGGAATAATTAATATAAGTGTATCTGACAAGAAAAGAAGAATAGAAAGAAACACATACTGGCATTATATACAATAAAAAGAATGGGATTCCAATTCAAGTCTTTTTGAATCTGGCAACTGTGCATATTTAGCCGAGCTATAAGGCCATCGACGAGCCGTCGATCCAAAACCGAAAGTTCAAAATTTCTAATTATATTCTGATTATGATATTGTCGCGCCATCTAGTATTCTATTTGTGCAATTTTAGCTCTTTCATTTCGAGTATTTTTCTGTTGCGTAGCTAAATATTCTGTGCTATAAGGTACACGAGTTATAATTGCGAAAATAGCTTTTATTTATTATTAAGGAACGTGAAAAATTGTTGGCAGTAATTTTTCTTGTAGCTAAAATGACGGCAGACAACGCGAAAGAGGCATGAAATTTTGGAAAAAAAATATGGCTCACCTGCATGCCGATTTGTGGAATGCCAAATTTATTCATTTTAAAAGCCATATGCAAAAGGGCAGACAAAAAGATCGTGGCTAAATCAGCGGAAGACAGTTATCAAAAGTGCGATATTACTTTAGTAATATCGCTTTACTACTAGCGTTTTCAGGTAACGCTCCCCGCCTAGAAAATAGTGCATTTTTTAAAAATTTTCCTTTATATTATAGAAAACTTTGTAGAACTGCCTGTTCACCGCAAATTTACCCACGGTATAATTTTTTAATCTACCATGCTTACGGCTTTACTCTATGGTTACGACACTAAAAGAATGGATGCAAATACAGAAAAAAAACAGGTGCTCACAAAATTATTTAAGAATAAATCTTTCTAAAAATGTCTTTAAATTTTCAAACTTGAACGGTTATTTTGGACTCATTTGAAAAACGGTAAAGAGAAAATATATTTCTTTTGTCGAGATACCAGCCCTGGGCCCGTATTCTGTAACTTTGAAAACGCTAAGCGCTTTTAGACGCTCAGCGTATATGACGTTAATTTTCGCTGAGCGCGCACTTAATTAACGATTTCGGTATTCTCGTCTGACGTGCTTAGCGTCTTTACTGATTGCGCTGAGCGCTTTGAAAACGGTTGCCTTAAAGGATCGTTTTGCTTGTCGAACTGTCAGTGAAAATCGAAAAAATCGCGATTTTGTGCGTTATCTGGCTCTTTAGTGAAAATTACTACTTCTTCTATAAATTCCTCAATAAGTAATTGATAATTTACGATTTGGCAGCTATAAATATTGTTCAAAACATCGAAAATGCTGAGAAGCGTCTTCAACACTTCCCTTGTATAATAAGAATAATGACATATCCATAGAAAAATAGCTTGACATAACTCAACAATAGGTCATGAAATTCACGTAACATTGACATTTTTCATTGTTACATCCGTCAGTTATTAACTTTTGACTATTACCTACATTAGAAAATGTGATGTTGCCAATATGTGCTCAACGCGTATCCTGAATACGATTCGCATGGCAACGAGAATACCAAAATCGACTGCCTTGCGTTTCGCTAATCAAATACTTGCGCTCACCGCTTTGAAAGCGTAAGGTTTTTATGTCAAAGTAACAGAATTCGGGCCCGAACATATTTGCACTTAGCCAAGACTCACCCTGTATAGTAATATCGCGCTTTTGATAACTCTCTACCGCTGATTAAGCCACGATTTTTTTTGTCTGTCCCTTTTGCATACGGTTTTTTAAATAAATAAATATGACATTCCACCAATCGGCATGCATGTATGCAATTATTTTTTTTTGTCAAAATTTCATGCCTCTTTCGCGTCGTCTGCCGGCATTTTAGCCACGAGAAAAATGTCTGCCAACAATTTTCCACGTTTTTTAATAACAAATAAAAGCTATTTGGCAATTATAACTCGTGTACCTTATAATATTTTTAGTGTCAAAATGTCACCCTTTCGATTGGCCTCCCCCGCCTTAAGCCCCGGGATCGCGCTGGCAGACATGATAATGTCTGCCAGCACATAATGGCTACACAAAAGGATACTTCACAAGAAAAATTAGCCATGTAACGATGATAAGGTTTTTTTATGTAGCCAGCTCTCCGTCTATAAGATATAAGCATTTCTTCCTTACCTGACTTGTTCTGACAACTTGGTGGCTTTGGTTTTTCTTTCATTTTCCTTATCACTGACCAAAGTCTTATAATCCAAGCCTAAACTGAAAATTTTATCCTGTTTGGATCGAACCAGCACCGCATTGCAATCCTTTTCTTTGGAAATCTTATTTAAAGCCGTTGTCAGTTCTTCCAGTAACTAAAAAATAAAAACAGTACAATATACAATCTAGGTTAGAACTTTTGGTGTTAGAATGGGAAAAAATACATATATCTACCACAATAATAAAAATTCTTATTTGAACTCGGAACATACTTTGCTAAACATTTTATGATCATAAAAATGTTAAACACTCATGTCACAAGTAACATATTAATGTTTTCTTCTTTACAGTTCAATAATAACATCCTACTAGATCTCCTATACTCGTATATATTTTCATCTAAAATAAAATATAGGAACCTTAAAAAGATCTAAAGAAATACTTAATAAAAATGCAGTAATATCGGCATTTTGGCGATAAACATACACCGGAATTCCGGTTTGAAAACCTTATTTTCTACGTTCACGTCGGTGATGACATACGGTATAAATTATTTTTGTTGAGGTCTTTGAATAAGAAGACTAAGGAAGGAGCATAATGCTATCCATGTATTCATGCATGGTGGGCGGAAAAGGCTCCATAAAAGCTCTCTAGGGTGGGGATCCTTGACAGTTCTGTTTGACGATTCATTTGACACATTTGAATTTGATTTGAAATTTTGTGGATTTGTCAGTCTTTATGGAGCTTATTTTATGTTATTTATTATTTATTCTACTACTGATAGTTGTATAAAGGTAGTAAATCTAGATGGAAATTGTGGCAGAACTTAAATTAACAGTGACACTATCGCGATTTTTCGAAACAGACTCTAAAATAGATGGTTGTGTAGCGTGCGGTAGATCTCGGCAAAAATTGAGTGAAATAATGGAACAACTTTTCGCTAGTAAGTGACTATATAATATACATACGTGTAGTAAACCGATCATTTATGAAATTCGCTTAAATTAACTAAATTATATATTTTTCTTGCATTTTAGCTTTTATTTATTACTTGTCAAAGATTAGATGTCAAAAGAATTTAGATACGTTAATTTGACTTACCTGCTTCAGTAGCGTATCGGATGTTTGTGTTAATAAATACTTATTATAACTTATCTATTTTTATTAGAATTATATATTTTATAACAATTTTAATAACTACCAACATTTATTCACAACGTAAAATAAAACAACAAATTATTGAGTCTACCCCACGTCTACCCTACATCATAGTTTTACATTTTTTAAATAAAATTAGAACGACACTGATAAACCGGAATTTAAGTCGGCCATATTTGAGGCCCATCGCGGTGTACCTAAGATTTTTGATATGCTCCTTCCTTAGTCTTCTTATTCAAAGGTTGAGGTTAGTTTTATTGCTTATATGCCCAGCAACAGGTACGTTCAGAGTTTAAATAAGTTTTTGTGGTAGATTCATTTATTTTTTTAAAGTAGTTCATTTGACCCATACTATTTACTCATCTCCAATGTGAATTGTTTTATGCAAATATACTCAACAAAATGAACGGAGTTTAAGTTTTTGCGAAAGATGTCTAGTTTTTTGAAAGTAGTTCATTTCATCCATACAATTTACACACCTCCAAAATGAAATTGTTTTCTTAATATGTTCATCAAAACGTACGTTCAGAGTTTAAATTAGTTTTTGCATAGTTTTTTAAAAGTAGTTCATTTGACCCATACAATTTACTCACCTCCAAAGTGAAGTAGCCCTTTGTAGTGTCCGCCGTGTGTAAATCAATCGTGACGCTTTTGTTGATTTTCTTTACGTTGAACGTTTTGTAGTGACCTATTCTGTTTTCCACTCGTTTCTGGTTTTTCGTGTCCGTTTCCGATTCTTGATCTTTCGTCTCGCTCGATTTTTTGACCCGTTTCGCTTTCGAGTAATCGTTCAAAGGGGAGCTTCGAGTTTTTCTTCTCAGTACCCTTTCTACAAACGTGGTAATAATTAGTTATGAAAGTTATGCAAGAACGAGAAGTATGACATTTTTTCTTTGAAAGTATTTATTTTTTAATTGTCTAAAAGTGACATTTCTGTACAATGATTTATTTTGACAATTATTCATATATAACTTTAGCAATGATAAAAGCATTGAGTAATACTTGTAATAGGAAAGTAGTAACATGGAAATATTTTGAAAACTATATATTTGGTAATAATTTAACAAATAATAAGGTAATAACTTTATAGAAAATTACGTTTATTTTTGATGGCAAATAAAATAAAATAAAATAAAAATTGAGGTTTCCATTTAAAAACCGACATTTTATAATTTCTTATAATGTAGGTCCTACATAAGAATGAAAAAAAACTTAAGTATAGAACATTAGGCACAAAATGTGTTATAATTCATTGTAGAACAAAAAATGTGATAATATATAGGGTGTTCCATTTAGAATAACGAAACTATAGTTCTGCTATAACCGTAAGTACTAGAATATTCAAAACATTTTAGCTGAATGGCCACCATCAACATTAGATATGTCCCAAATTTTCAGACGTTTCTTATTATACTTTTTGCTATATCAATCTAAGTTATTCCCGGAGGGACACCACACCCTGTATAGAACAAAATATTGTCTGAATTTACCTTGGTCGTCATCCAAACTCCCTCCGTTACTGGACAATGAGCTACTGGATCTGCGTCTAATCAAGTAAGATGTTTCATTTGGAAATGGAAATGTTGGTGATCGCGGCGGGGTACTTCTGAAAGAAGTATCAAAATATATAAAACATAAAACTATTCCATAAGTAAAGTTTGTTCAAAGAGCCAGGGAAGATTTCGATTACATTACCTATTAGAATCTTTGGACTTCTGCCTGCTGATTCCCGAAGGTGCCGGAGATGGAGCTGGAGTCGGTGAAGCGGATTTTGTTGGTTTTATTTTCGTTTCAGGCGAAATGGCCGAGTCCTTTTTACGAAGCGACTTTGGCGATTCCACTGACGAGTTATTAACCAAGTCCGATTTGATTAGATTAGCCTGTAGACAAATTAGATATAAACAGAAGTTATTTATGAGCGAACAAAAACGGTGTAGAGGCAAAAAAATAATACCGCAGTTTCAACCATTGAATAAAAATTAAGGAAAGAGTAGGTATATCAAAAAAATTAGCGAGACAATGAAGGGATTTTAATATGGCTGATTTGAATTCCAGTTTATGAGTGGCGTTCCATATTTTTAAATATTAAGATTCACAATAATCTCACTGTAATTCAAGTGCTGACACAATGTATTTCTAGATTTATGCATTTTCTACAAAACTAATTAAAAAACAATCTGAAATAATAGAGAATAAACACAGAACACAACTGGCGTAATTAAATCCACTAAATTTAAAATTGTGAAAAGACAGTTAAAGAAAACTGACAAATTCAAACAAATACAAAACTGACATGGCAAATGCAATCGCTTCTTATTTGATGAATGAATATACGAATCTACAAATTATATTACTCCTTCCTAATAACTCCTCCACCCCTATAACTTTTTTTCAGATGAAAAAACGACATTTGGTATGTTAGTATATGACATAAATCAGTTGTTCTTGGTCACTTCCTGTTTCACCGGAAATGACTACAACTTTTGGTTTTTAAATGGCACCCCCAGTACATTTATACTTTATTCGATAGAAAATGACATTTTGAATAGAATGACATATCATATGTCAACTTTTGACATTTTCCCTTATAAAAAATCGTATTTTAAATTTCAAGGCTGTGTGTCAAGGCTGTGTTAAAAACATTAATTTTTAATCAAGAAGCCTTGGAAAAATAGATTTGACCATCTAATTTTTTTCGTGTCTTGTCCTGGTCGGTTAAAAGATACCCAAATCGTATTTTTAATCAAATGGAACAAGAGTGGCTCATTTCGAGTAAAATTGTTATAAACCGCATGTTCCAATTTCAAATATACCATATGCGAAAATATCAAAAGTTGACATGTGATATGTTATTCTATTCAGAGTGTCATTTTCTATTGAATAAAGTAAAAATATACCGAGGGTGCCATTTAAAAACCAAAAGTTGTAGTCATTCCCGGTGAAACAGGAAGTGACCAAAAACAATTGAATACGTCAATCAATCCTAATTTGTCATATACTAACATATCATATCAAATATCATTTTTTCATCTGAAAAAATAAAAAATTATAGGGATGAGCCACTTTTGAGACGCACTCGGTATAGTTGAAGTAAATTATATAATTATACAGAGTCCTGCAACAATGCTCCGGGTATTAGACTCTTAGAAGTCCTATTTTTAATAATTTTGATCAAAGCCATCTAATGCTTTATTTTGTATTTTACTGTTGAATACGCTTAATGTAATATAATATAATACACCGAATATCTGCAAATCCGTTAAACATTTCTATACAGTTTAAATAAAAAAAATATTTATTTTTTTAATTTCTGTACAATTTACGGTTACGACATTTAATAATAAAAAATAATCAAGTACAGGTGAATTATTGTAATAAACACATTGTAATAAGCCTTGCAAGTCGCAGCGTCTCCAACGTAGAACCCTTAATATGGAGAAGAACAAAACTATAATAAACACCCTTTACTTTCAGGACAATCATTATTTTGAATTATTTTTTTAAATGCCGCAAAAATATGTTAGTAAATTTAACTATTAAAACGAATTTAATAATAACCCAGGTTTATGTAAAGCAGTCAAAAGAAAGCCAAAATGCAATAATATACAGGCTGTTCTATATTAAGAAATCACTTTCACACACTAATACCTTTTTGAGACATTCTGTACAAATGACCATATTTTCCCGAAATAATACGCAAATTACTTCTGTACTTAAAGCAAATTCTAATTATACATATTATGAAACCCGACGCACTGTTGTAGGACCCTGTACATTAATAGATTAAACAGTAGTTCAAATGTACCATTCTTTCATACATACCTTTTTCGCCAAATCCTTAAAAGTTCTTTCTACAGAAATAACGGTTTTCTTTCTTTTTTCATCAGAGGAGTCGTTCTTTAATTCGTACAACATCTTAATGGTTCCCTCGTCCCCCAAAAGCTTATCCACCTCCGTCCTGGACTTTTTCGGTTTTTGAATTACCTTGCTCGCAGAACTCATTTTCTTTTCCGCGGCCGCAGGCAGTGGGGATTTTTTCGGCAGTTGTTTATCTTCAACTTGAAATTAAAAATAATTGGAATGTGCTAAAGAAAATAGATGACAAATTCTTATGACAGATTGACAGTTGATAGATTTTAAAATTTTTAATATCCTAATTTAAATAAAATAATAGCCTTAAAAATCTAAAAATACGTTTTACAGCAGATCTAAAAAATGAAAAATAATTTGTTATCCATGGTATCCAACAAGTAAGTAAAATAACTGCATAAAATAAAACAATTTTATGAAGAGTTTAAATAATAGTAAAATGATAATAATATCACAGATAAGATCAAAATAAGAAACTAATATAAAATAGATAGGAAACTCAATACATTTTGTCCGGACCGAGCGGTGGCGCCATCTCGTAGGTCTAGTAACGAAATAAAACATAAATTTAAAATGGATGGTTACTATTTTTTTCGGATTTTTCCATTTATTCAAGTAAATTAATTCAAGAAAGAACCAATTTACTCGAATAAATGGATTTAAGTTAAAATGACAAAGGGGATATAAAAAAACACAAAAAAAAATATAAGAAACCATCTTGATTGAAATGAATATAATAACAAAAACAATACAAAACATTACAATAATAAAAACTATCTAGATCTATTACAATTAGGGCAACCTATTTTACAATTAATTAACAATCTCAAGAGGAACTATCTTGGTAGACACGTGTAACACGTGTTAACACTTACTATTTGATCCTTCAGAAACATATGCATTTGGGCATCTTTTTGGTACTGTTTACAGACCGTAATAAGTAACACAACACTTAAAAACCACTGTCTACAGTTAAAAAAATATGAAAGAACACAAGAACAGAGCCGTATACAAATCAAAAACAAATTTAAAACACGATCTACGGATAACGTGCGAAAAAATATAAATTGACAACTGTTGACAGGTGAAATTTTACATTTGACTGTGGACTATCGGCTACAACCTCTCACTTCCATAAGAGTTTCCTAGGCATGAATAATACTAAAAAAAATATAAAAGCACGGATCATCCTTTTTATATTTTTTTTATTGACTCAATACTAAGTTTTAGGCTATGCTAGCTGCAAAAGTGTAAACAATAATACTTACATACCGCCATTACTCGCTGACGAGCATTTGACACGCATCAGAAGATGGTCACGCAAGGCGTTTTCTTTCATGAGCTTTTCTGTGACTGAAAAGCCCGATACGTGATGTTATCTGTCTACCGCACTCCAGACATTCAAAAATCTCATTGCTTTGTTGCCTCTTTACTTTTTGGTTGTCGCTCTTAACTGATTTTACAATTCTTCTCCATTCCGTTCTATTGTGAGCTGCCTCTTCCCACTCATTCTGCATGTTAATCCCCTTTAAGTTTTCGTGGAAAATGTCCTTGTACAGCTGGTTCCAATAAAATTGAATACGATTTAAAACATATTTTTATTATTTCAGGCAGTATATTCTATGATACCACTCCCCCATTTCTCTACTCATGTCATGCTGACGTTCTAAAAAATGTATTTGCCACTTTGTGAAAAGCAAAGTTGTTTTATACAATGTCACAATAACCTTAACATGTCAAAATACTTGACACATAAATATACACTGCCCAAATATTCGAAAAAAATGTGTAAAGAGTCGTATTCATTTTTTTTTGGAACCAGCTGTACCTTTTCAGTTGTCCACCCCGCCTCCTCTTACCGTCTACAAGCTCACCGTAAAGCAGAGATTTTGGTATGCGGTTTTCTTGCATTCTGCAGACGTGACCAGCCCATCTTAAGCGGGACTTTTGTAACCATGACTTCAATACTCTCGCAGTTAGCTTTTTCAAGGACCGATACGTTTGAGACATGGTGGAACCACCGGATTCTTAAGAGTTGTCTAAGGTGTCTCTGTTGCAACTTGTTTAATGCGTTCATGTGTCGGCGGTACGGCACCCAGGTTTCGCTTCCATATAACATGGTGGGAATTATTATCGCTCGGTACACCGCAAGTTTCGTTTTTGTGCTCAAGTCATGATTGTAAAAAACCCTGTCTTTTAATTTCCAGAATGCTCTTGAGGCGCTTCTAATCCTGTGCTGAATTTCAGAGTCGATATTGGCCTTTTCCGAAATCAAACTGCCGAGGTAATTGAATTCCGCTACATATTCCAACAGCTCATCTCCGATTTTTATAGCATTGTTGTGATCTTCCGGGGGAGTGCGCATGATTTTAGTTTTATCGATGTTCAGCTTAAGTCCCATGGCCCCGTATGCCCATGTATATGTGCTAAACATTTCTTGCAATTGCTGTAAGGTATTTGCAACTAGAGCACAGTCATCAGCGTATTGAAGTTCTGTGATGAATTTTGTACGTGTTTTTGCCCTGAGTCTTTTTATGTTGAACAGACCGCCGGCGCCGTCGTATCTGTATCTAATGCCCAAACCTCTCTCCTGCAGTTTGCTGTCCACTATAATGGAAAGCGCTGCCATGAATATATTGAATAGGAGAGGCGCTAAGACACATCCCTGCCTAACGCCTGTGTTTGTTAGGAAGGGATCGCTCAGTGATCCAAGATATGACACTCTTGATTTGTTGTTGTTATGGAGGCTTTTACACACTGTAAGAAATTTGATGGGTACTCCGAACTTTTTCATAATTGCCCAAAGTGCATCTCTGTTCACAGAGTCGAATGCTTTTGTTAGATCGATGAATGCAACGTAAAGTTTAGACTGCTACTCTTTTACTTTTTCCTGCAGTTGCCGGATGGAGAATATGGAATCGACGGTACCGCGGTTGGTGCGAAAACCTGTTTGCGATTCTGGGAGGATTTTTTCTATATGTGGGTGCAGGCGGTTTGACATAATTTTTGCAAGAATTTTTCCTCCAATAGCCAGTAGTGAAATTCCTCGGTAGTTTCCGCAGTCTGATGCACTTCCTTTGTTCTTAAATATATTCACTATATTCGCGTTGCAAAAGTCCTGAGGTACCTCTCCGCTTTCCCATATGACATCAAAGAGAGCCAATAAGTTCTTTACTTGCACACTTATAGATTTTCGCCGGAATCGCGTCACAGCCAGCTGATTTGTTGTTTTTAAGCTGTTTTATGGAGTCCTTTATTTCCTGTTCTGTTATTGGAATGTCTAATACATCGAGGCTGTTATACTGAGGTATTATGTTGAGTGCTTCTATATTGGGGTTGTTTTCTTGGTTAAGGATTTGGCTGTAATGCTCTTTCCAGCGGTTTCTGATTTGCTTTCTTCTTCTTTTAGAAGTTCGCCATTTTGTGCCATGATTGGGCATCTTGCCTTCTTAGTTGGACCGTATACTTCTTTTACAGCCTCGAAGAATTTACTATAGTCGTGATGCATGGCATACTCCTGAATCGGACTAGCTTTTTGCGACCACCAGTTATCCTTTAGTTGGCGCAGATTTCTTCGGAGCGTGTTGTTGGCTGCCTTAAAATTGTCTGCTAGTCTTGGATTATGTGGATTTGCAGTGACGGCTTGATGTGCTTTATGCTTTTGTTCCAACAAATCCAGTATATGCGGTTGATTTTCGTTAAACCAGTCTGGTTGTTTCTTTTTGTTGGATTTTCCCAGTACTGCTTCGTTGGTTTTGTGATAATAATTGTGTAAAATTTTGTGAATAATACTTAAGGGGCCGATCGGCAGACTATTTAACTGCATCTGAGGGCGGTTCATAACAATACATTGGTTACAAATTTGCAACTAAATAGTCGGCCGACTAAAAATTGCTTGTCAGCGCATAGCCTTAAAAATAGTTATTAATTGAACATATACAGGGTCGGCAAGGTTTGGCATTGGGTGCCGATTTTCGTTGAGTACAGTCAATACGTTCAGTGCAATATGATGTACTGAACAAAGAAAGGTATCAGGTCTAAGGAGAGACCAAGTTGAGGTGGAGAAAATGGAGACAGACCCTCGACTGTGAAGGGCACGGAGGATCAAACCGCAACCGTGGAAGGGTGTATACCATCGGAGGCGGAACATCTGTTGTCAGAGGAGGATGGGAAATACCCTGTCCCTGCTACAACATGTATGATGAGTTATAACTCAAGGAAGGGGGACACAATAGATCTTTAAGGTCGCAGTGATTAACCCCCCCCCCTCCAACTTATTCTACATTCTACAACAAAGAAAGAAGAGCAAGTATTTTCCAAGTGCATGAAGTTTAGCGTCGGATTAAGTGGTTATGTAATAAACACTTCGCATTTTTCTTTCTCCGACGTACAATATCGCCATAGTGATTCACTCCTAGACATGTAAATTGCTGTCCTCCTTCCACGCAGTTGAGCAGCTCTGATTCAAGAACGCGATACTCTCACTCCATTCAATTGAGTCATAAAGTTCCAGAACTGTTCCTCGCCATATGGAGGCACCAGGCTATCGCGCACCGCTCCTTTCAGAACCGTTCTCGAGTAGCCCCAGGGCGTAAAGCCCGGAACTCGAAGTTCGCGAACGGAGGACAGCAAATGCCGATATATAAAAATAACTGTTTCTTGTCGATATGATGTTAAGAGTGATGTAACGAATATCAGTTTTTTAAATATTCGCACGAATGCGAATATGTATCACCAATTTCGCGAATGCTAATGTGAATATTTCTTCATTGCTAAAAAACCTTTTTTAAGTGTTAAATACTTTCTAAAAGAAGTTTTATAGTGAAACATCTTGTATTTGTTACTTATTAGTGATTTTAGTTATAAAATTTTATATTTAAGTTCAAAATAAAAGTAGATTTACGTAGTGACCGGCACAAAATTAAGGAAATAATATGGTTAGACGTTATTATATGCTAAATATATTTTTTGTGAAAAAGAAGTTTAATAGAAGTTTAAATTACAATTAATATAATTGCAAAACTATGTTACAAGGATAAAGGTTTTGTAATAAAAACTATAAGAAATTTATATTACCTTGTTTATTAACCTAATGTTAGTTACATTATATTATATTTTTCCCAATGTTTATATTTCCATCAATTTTGCAAATGCAAATACCAAAATCAAAAGATATGCTAATACTCAGGAATGCGAATATTCGTTACATCACTAACACTTTCATATCGAACACACCGCCCTTTTTGTATTCGTTTAGATTACTGTCATTAGAACAAAATAACTACCTACCTATCTTATCAGTATTTGCCTTGGTTTCCGCTTTTTTCTCTGACTTCTCAGCAGCTGCCTTAGTCTCACTTTTGACCGAACTATATTTCGCAATAATCTTGGTTTGAAGAGTATTCTCGGGCTTGTTGGTACCAACCTTGGTTCCTGCTGACTTTGTCGGTGTCTCGTCAGGATCCCAAATAACCTATAAAATTATTTAACCATAAAAACACCTGTCATTTAGATACAAACGGGTCTGGTACGGTCCGAAGTGTCTATAGTTTGTCCAACGTAAGGATACATGATAGTGACAGTTGTGTCTGTCATTTTAATTCACAGATATACTGTATTTTCTGTCAGTATTACCTGTTCAGTCAAAACGTATAAAAAATTGACGATTTACTTGAACTGAATTAAGACGGAAGACAGTCTAGAGAACTGACGGGATCATTCAGTCTTTCAATAAAAGTGTCGTTTTGCCTTCAATGAGAAAACTGTAAGTAAATTTACAACAAATAATATGGATACATTGATTTAATAAGCCACTTTTAAAAATAAAATAGTTTTGCATAGTTTTACAAAATAATCTAATTTTGCACAGAAAATTGTTTAGTTATTTAATGATTATTACCAAACAATACGATTTTCAGAACTAGCTTTGTGTGTTTACAAATGAAATTAAAACTGTAAATACTATTTTGTAGTAAACTTCCATATTTCTTCTTTTCAACATCACTAAACACAATGCTATAATTATGTAGTAAAAACGCTGGTAAAACTTCCAGTGTATACCCTCTATATTCGTCTAAACCAGTGATTCCCAAAGTGGTCCAGGTGGACCCCCAGGGGTCCACGGGAGACTTGCTGGGGGTCTACGTAGGCGTGAACAAAAAATGGGGGTCCATAAGATGTTAATGGGGGTCCACGAAAATTTATCTGCTTTTGATAGTAAAGAGCAAAAATGTAAGCATAGTTTTTATAAGGGCCTACCTACATTGTTTTAAGTACCTATCTAAGCAGATAATATTTTAATAAGGCAAGCGACTGTTACTTGTCCAAACTTGCGTATTCGATATTACGTACAATTTCGTGTACAGACTTGCAAAGCGCTATCCGCCCGACAATGCTTAATGCTTGTTCAGACATGAACTTGATCACCACTATAAATACTTGATGCCAAAGGCAAACGCATTCATTTGTTTCCGGAATTTCGAAAAAGGCGGAATTTGGAAAAAAGTTGTGAGAAAATTTATATCTGTGTTTGCTAGTGCCGGAGAAAAGTAAGTAACCTACCTTTTTTTGTTATAGTACTTAAGTATTTTGTTTACGTGTACTAGTCGGTTGATCACAACGGCCTGTATAGATAGGTAACTTAGTAACTTACAGATATTTTAATTGTCCTCTTTCGATTTGAAGACAAACACAGCACGTTTTATTCAATTGTTTTTTCACGAGAGAAACACTGCCTCTCTAAAAAGGCCGAATAAGCAATATTGCAGAGCAATTAATTTTGTAATTTTTCTTGCAAATAACTACTAATTTTATAAAACAGTAATTTCATAATCATTTTAAATTGGTTTTGAAGTAACTATTTTATCAAAACTATTCCTTTTCGGAAAGAGCGAGCGGTGCGCGGGCGACGGGAAAAGGGCGGGGCTTGGACTTCGATGCCAGTTTGTCACGTTTTAACAATGAAGCCGCAGACAAAAAATACGCAAATACACGGAGCGCGTGAACTCATTGATTTAATAAAATGTTAGTTATCGTTTTTATGGACAATTTTGGGATTTCGACTTTTATTTTTTCCTACACAAATATGATCAGTATTCGATACTGAGTACACCAATTTTATTTATACTATTAAAAATTAGTGGTAAATTATGTACTTTAAAATTGATACCGTTTTGTGAAAACGTCTGTATTTGTCTCAGCGGTTTATTAGTTGGTCCCTTTACAAGCCGTAATTCTATTTCCGCGTGCTGACAAAGGCTGCGGTGTGATACCTATATTCAGAAAAAAACTTGGTTACTAAAACTTTTTTTTACAGGTAAGGTAACTGACACGAAACATGGCTACAGCAAAGAAAAAATGTCGACAATATAGTATCGATTATTTGAAATATGGTTTTGTTCCATCAGAGGCAGACAAACAATTGCCCATGTGCCTATTATGCAACAAAGTTTTGAGCAATGACTCTATGAAACCATCAAAGCTCGAAGATCATCTAAAAAGGTGTCATACTGATAAAATAGGTAAAGATTTAAAATATTTTCAAACATTGAAAGAAAAATATGGAAAGAGACCCACCATGCACAGTATGTTCGCTTCAACATCTCAAAGTAACGATGATGGCTTGCGGGCATCTTACAATATCTCATTACTTATAGCAAAATCTGGAAAACCGCACACTATCGGAGAACAATTAATTTTACCCGCTGTTGAAGAGGTTTTAAAAACTGTTTTGCACAAATCTCCATTTGACGTACTAAAAAGAATTCCATTAAGTAACAATACTGTACAAAGACGCATTGATGAAATGAGCTCTGATATCGAAAGCTTTTTGTGCAATCATCTGCAAAAAACTCATTTTTCTATACAACTGGACGAGTCAACGTTACCCAGTAATGAAGCATTACTATTGGCATATGTCCGATTTATTGTTGAGGAAGAAATTCACGAAGAATTGCTATTTGCCAGAACTTTGGAGACTGACACTAAAGGCGAATCAATATTTAATGTCCTGAGTAATTTTTTTACGGAAAAATCGATCCCATTTACAAACATTATTTCAGTGGCAACAGACGGAGCTCCTGCAATGGTCGGGCGATATCGTGGGTTTATAAGTCATCTCAAAAGAATTATACCAGGACTTACAGCTATTCATTGCGTAATCCACCGACAACATCTTGTGGCAAAACATTTAAGTGACAGGTTGAACCAATCTCTTCATTTTGTAATAAAAGCTGTCAACAAAATCAGAAGCAATGCATTGAATACGCGTTTATTTGCTCAATTGTGCGACGAAAATGATGAAGACTTCCAACGACTGCTCTTACATACTGAAGTACGCTGGTTGTCGAAAGGTGCATGCTTAACGAGATTTTACTCTGTTTTCGATTCCATATTAGAGTTCTTAGAAAGTAGAGATCCAGATTTAAAAGAAAACTTGATCAAATTCAAAGCAGACATTGCGTATTTGACAGATTTGTTTAAAAAATTTAATGATATTAACTTGCAGTTACAAGGGGACAGCCTGAATTTAATAAAAACAAAGGGGATAATTTCGGCTTTTCTTGGGAAATTGAAATTTATGAAGCAAAACATTAGTCGGCGCGAATTCTCTCAATTTCCAAACTTGTCGCAGGTAGAATGTATTGATGAGGATATCCATACCTACAGTCAACATTTAAGTGCTCTGCATGATGACTTCAAAACCAGGTTTGAAGATATACTGACGATGGATATACCACCATGGATCATAAATCCATTTGATGAAACGGAAGTGGCCAATGTTGTATTACAAGAGGAGCTGCTCGAGCTAAGCACTAATGAGGAGCTGAAGGTGAAATTTAGAAAAGGCTACCCAACATTTTGGCTGCAAGCAGAAATACCCGAAAAATATCCTGGACTGTGGGAAATCGCAAGGAAATTTTTAATAGCTTTTCCCTCGTCATACCTTGTCGAAAGGAGTTTTAGTGCCGTTACAAACCTCTTAACAAAAAAAAGGAGCAAATTAAACATCCCAGAGCGGGGGATTTGCGGTTATTGCTCACAAAAATAAAGCCAAACATTGATCGTTTGCTGACACTCCATCAGATACATCCTTCCCATTAATTAAAATTATGACCTGAACCTATATTACCTTAATATTTTTTCTTGTAATTCTATTCTTTTAATAAATAAAGTGATATAAAATGTACCATTTTTCGTTTTTATTTTACATATCGGAATATAGGGACAGAACTCAGAAGTGACACAATTTTTATTTTTTGGCGACTTTAAGAATGTGGTAGAAATGTAGCAGCAGGGGGTCCACCGAAACCAGTAAAATTTTGAAAGTGGCCCACGAGAAAAATAAGTTTGGGAACTACTGGTCTAAACTGACAGGTAAAATGTTATACAGGCTGAGTCTTAAATATGTGCAAATATTTTCAGAGCTTGTAGATCTCGATAAAAGAAACATACTATTCTCTTTACCGTTTTTCAAATAAGTTTAAAATAACCGAGTTATTTTATTTTGAACATTAAAAAAAATATATTTTTTGCTTAAATTTTGACGGGATTTTTGTAGGTTTTCGTCCTTGTAAATTTAATCTACTACCTATGTTGCCAAATTAACAATATATTATGTTTTTTAACTAGAAATTTAAAAAAATTCCAATTTTCTTTCGTGTGAAAAGCCTCTTTGTCGTATTTTTGGGGTCGAATTATACGACCCCTAAAAATATTTGCGCTTATTTAAGACTCACCCTGTATATATGTTATGTTTTAGGGGCTAGTACCTTTGAATAAAAAGATTAAGAAAGTATAATGCTATCCATGTATTTCATACATAGTAGATGGAGGTGGAGCTCTAGGGTGGTGATCCTTGACAGTAACTGTCAAGCAGAACTGTTCTGCTTCACGATTCATTTGACATATTTGAATTAGATTTGAAATTTTGTGGATTTGTCAGTCTCTACTGAGCTTATTTTATGTTTTTTATTATTTTATTCTACAACTGGTAGGTTGTATAGAGGTAGAAAATCTATCGAAAAAGACTAAAATAGTTGGTTGTGTAGTGTGATCAACTTTGAATGACAAGCGATAGCGACAGCAGTGCCAGATTGTGATGTATTTATGATTTATAATCTTAATGTAAAATTGGGAAACAATATATTTAATATATAATTTTTTTTTAAATTTAAGTTTTATTTTTAATACTAATTAATTGCTTTATTTGTTTTATAGATTATTTTACTTATTACATATTGGAAAAAAACTAGTCCATTATGAAGATTATTCTAAGCGTTATTATGGGTTATCTATTTATGTATTTATTGATGCACATCTTACAAAACCACAAGTGGTAATAACATGTAAGAGGGTACCATATTGCACAAACTAATAATCACAAAATTTAATAAAAACTAATGTAGAAATAAATTTGAAAGTGGTATAATGCGCTTTCCAGTCAAACTTACTTCTCTGATTGGAATCAAGGGT